GACAATTGACCTTTGGATTTGGAAACATGGAAGTCACAGGTAGCCCTAAGAATAGGAATTTCAGCAGGGTAGTTTAGGCAGAAGCCTGTGGGGTGGGTTAAGAGAGATCGGGAGTATGTCCATATGTCAGAATACTAGGAGGCTGTGTGAAAGGATGACAGAGCTTCCTCTTCACTGATATGGGAAGATAACAAAGATATGTTGTTAAGTCAAAAAAAGAAAGATGTAGAACAGTGTACATGGTATGCCAACTTTTATATGAAATACATGGGGATATAGGAATGTATATTACTATTTGCTTGTGTATGCATAAAGAAATTCTGGAAGAATGCACAGAAATTAGTCACACTGAGGGCAGGGATGGGCACTGAAAAGATAGTAGACAGAGAGAGAATAAAAACTTTCATTGTATACATTTTAATATATTGAAAACTATTTTTGCACATGTGAATGTATTAACCATTCAAAATAATGAATTACAAAATTGTATTATATTTATCTATGTTATCCTCACCTGAGAACATTTTTGCATTTATCTTCAGATAGAGCAGGAGGGAGAGAGAAAAACATTGATGTGAAAGAGACACATTGAGTGGCTGACATCCACACAACCCCAGCTGGGGCTGGGAACAAACTGCAACCAAGGTACATGCCCTTAGTGGGAACTGAACCTAGGACTCTCTGGTCCAAGGGCCGATGCTCTAACCACTAAGCAAAACAGGGCAGGGCTGAATTACAAAAATTTTAATAGTTTAAGTTAAGCCCTGGCTGGTGTGGCTCAGTCAGTTGGAGCATCATCCTGTACACCAAAAGGTGGTCAGGGCACATACTCAGGTTGTGGGTTCCATCCCCAGTCAGAGTGAGTGCCTGAGGCAACTGATCAATGTTTCTCTCTCACACTGATGCCCCCCCACCTCCCTTCCTCTCTCTAAAATCAATAAAAATAAATAAAAAATTCAATAGTTTAAGTTAATAAAAGAGAAAGAGAAGGAATGGAAAGAGAAATGGAAGAGATGGTGAATGGAGACCATCTTCTGAGATCCTTTGCTGTAAAGGGAAGCAGAAGAGCAGATGCTGGAGGGGGACATGGCTGTGAAAAATTCCAACGTGCTTACATGCTGCTGGGAATAATGAAGTAGAGAGGAGGAGTAACAGTATGGAGAGGGAGGGATAGTTCCTGGAGTGAAGATTTTGGTCACTGAAAAGGCCTGGGATCCCCCCCAGAAGGAGAGGTGGGGATGGGCTGTAGTGGCAGAAGTGGGAAGTTCTCTTCTGTCTGCATCTATTTTCTCAGAAAAGCAAGATCATCAACTGAGAGTGAGAAGAGTTCAGAAGGACTTGGGCACTGAAGGATAGGAAACAGACAGAAATTTACCATGACAAAGACTGTACCTCCCCCTCCCCCCAACGAGCCTAGAGATCATGATAAAGAGACTAACAGAGCCAGACACAGGGAAAGAATTTATGGACTGTGGACTGTGGAAAGATCCTCAAATTATCTGAAGACACATTTATCACTGTATTTCATTATCTCCTTTACTAGATTCTAAGTTCCAGGAAGACAGTGATGGCTTTGTTCTTGTTCTCCACTGTATCCCTAGCCCATAGTACGGTACCCACCACGTAGTAAGTATTTAAAAAAGAGTCGCTGAGCCCTGACTGGGTGGCTCAGTTAGTTGGAGTGTTGTCCCATACACCAAAAGGTCACAGGTTCAGTTCCCGGTCAGGGCACGTACTTATGTTGGGGGTTCGGTCCCTGGTTGGGGCGCATATAAGAGGCAGCGGATAAATGTTTATTTTTCACATAGATGTTTCTCTCTCTCTCTCTCTCTCTCTCTCTCTCTCGTCTTAGATTAATAAAAAGAAACATATCCTCAGGTGAGGATAAACAAACACAAAAAGAGTCATTGAATAAATGAATGAATAAAAAATACTAGAAATAATCGATAATGACCCAAAGTCCTCAGTGTAACTGGCAGTGAATAAATTGGACCCACACCCATCACATAATGAGTCCTCTTACTGCACATCCTCAGGATATACTGGGGCTCATGGAGGCTGGTGGACCCTGCCTCACATGGGCCAATTCACATCCAACGTGCACTGTCTTTCCCACTGGGAGACACAAGAAGGGCTCACTCACTGCCATTCTGACCTCGGAATGAAGGACTGTCAGGGACAGACCAGCAGGAGGGCAGCAGCTGCAGATGCTGGTCAGAACAGTAGGCTTCCTTCCGGGAGGCGGGAGTGCCAGGCTAATGATAGTAATAGTGCAGGAGATGAAATGCGATTGTCTGGAGGGGCGTGGGTGTGAGCAGAAACTCAGCAGAAAGCACTGAACACAGATCACAAGGCAGATATCAGGGAGGGCAGGAAGATAGAAAGGAAAGGCAGGTGGTAGGCAAAAGAGATAATGAAGAGTTCCAGGGGGCCCAGATGAAGTTTGATAAGCAATAAATATTGAGCATCTATATGCCAAGTCCTGAGGTAGGTTACGAGGGAACAAATCAAATGAGGTCTTTGTTTTCTAGTGCATGTGGGGTGGGGGGCAGACAATAAACAATAAACAAATGTAAGATCATTTCAGAGAATGAGATGAGTTGGAAAGACAATGAAACATACTGATGAAATAGAGTGGGTGGCCAAATGACAGGAGGGAAACAACCAGGTAAAAATGAGAGGGAGGGGAGCACAAAGGATTCCAGAAAGAGGGAACCAAAAGTGCAGGGGTTCTAAGAGGTTCTAGAATATCACAAAGTCCAATCTGGCAGGAACATTGTCTGAACATTGAGGAGGAGTACAAGTTGAAGGGCCTTTTCTAACAAAGAGTTCAGACTTATTCCAAGCACAATAAAGAGCCACTCAAATATTTTAAGCATGGAAGAGCATGATACGATTCTGATTTCCAAAATATTACTAGACATTGTGAAGACTAGTTTGTAAAGGGCAAGGGCAGGAGCCAGGGAACAGCTAGGAAGCTATTGCACTATTCCAGATGAGAGATGCTAGCTTGGACCAGAATGAGAGCAACGAAGATGGAGAGAAGTGGATGTATTCAGGATATATTTTGGATGCAATCCTCACAGGATTTTCTGGTGAATTAGATACATGGTGGAAATTAGTAAGAAAAGAGAAAAGGAGGAAGGGCATTTCCTAGGTTTTTAGTCTGAACAAGTGGATGGGAAACACTGGGAGAGAAATGGATTGGCCAGGAGAAAATTCAAGATGGATTTTAGCTGCATTGGCTTTACATGGCTAATAGACGTCCAAGTGGAGATGTCAAGTAAGCTGTTAGATAAATGAGTCTGGAGCTCTGGATATAAATTTAGGACTCGCTGACATTTACATAGTGTTTAAGCTCTGGGACTGAATGACATCACTGGACAGATAATGTGGAAACACAAGAGAGCCAAGGACTAAGCCCTGAGAAACTAACATTTAGAGGTTGAGCAGAAAAAGACAGAAGGAAAAGCCAGTAAGGTTAGAGGGAAATGAGGAGTTTTGTGTCCTAGAGGTGAAACTTGAATAAAACCAGACTGTGGCCCTGGCTAGTGTGGCTCAGTTGGTTGGAGTGTCTTCTCGTGCACCAGAAGGTCACTGGTTCGATTCTGGATCAGGGCACATGCCTAGATTTCGGTCTGATTAGGATGCCACCAACCAATCAATCCATGTATCTCTCTCACATTGATATCCCCCCCCCCTTCCCCTTCCTCACTCTCTAACATCAATTAAAAACAAACAAACAAAGGGCTGGGATGGGGTGAGAGTTTGGGCAGAAGAAGCTGCATTTGATTTTTTTTTTTTTTATCCTCACCCGAGGACATCTTTCCATTTTTTGTTCAGATAGAGCGGGAGGGAGAGAGAGGAAGAGAGAGAGAGAGAAACATCGATGTGAAGGGACACATCGAGTGGCTGCCACCCGCACGACCAACTAGGGCTGGGGACAAACTGCAACCGAGGTACGTGCCCTTAGCGGGAACCGAACCCGGGTACGTGCCCTTAGCGGAACCGAACCCGGGTCTCTCAGCACCGCAGGCCCACGCTCCAACCGCTGCGCCAAACCGGCCAGGGCAGAAGCTGCATTTGATAGAGAGGTTAGGGAAGGCCTCTCAGAAGAGGTGACATTGGGTCTAAGTGAGATATTAATGAAAAGAGTGAGTCATTGTTAAAAGCCAGGGGAAAACGTCCCAGACACAGGGAATAGCAAGTGCAAAGACCCTGTGGCCAGTTAAGCTCTTCTAGTTCTAGAAACACAGATCAGGTCCAGTGTAGCTGGGGCATAAAGAAATGATAGGAAAATAAATCAGAGAGCTACCTAGGGGCTAGGTTATATAGGGCCTTGTAAGTCACAGTAAGGAGTTTGGATATTCTGATTGCTAGATAAACTGCATAATGCGACTTGATCTACTTAGTTTAAAGATAAATGGGTTGTTTTGGAGACAATGCATTGTAGCAGGGCCAGAGTGGAATCAGGGGATTCAGTTATTGGGATAATCCAAGGATGATTCGAGGTCTTCTCTGCTACCCACTGGATCCCACTCTGCACTCTTCACCAGGGGCGAAACAGAGTTGGGGTGGCAGAAATGACTAAGGTGATCATGGTTTTCCATGGTGCTGGGTTGAAAAGGGTGGAGAAACCCGCCATCAAAACGCAGGGAATCAGACAGTCGCTCAGCCTCCGCCGCCCTCTCCAGCCTTTCACCTGACACAACTGAGCGCTACTCCCGCGGTGCGGCAGCGGGAGGGTTAACTGTGCGTGGCCCACAGGCGGGAGGGGGAGAGGAGGAGACCGAGCACTTGGAGCTGCCGTGCCGAGCCCCGGCGAGCCGAGCGCAGCTCGAGCCGAGCCGAGTCAAGCCGAACCGAGCATCTCGCGCCGCCGCCGCCGCCGCCGCCGCCGCCGCCCCGCGCCCTAGGCGCCCGCCCCCCACCCTCTCCTGCACCCCGCTGCCGGCCAACCCCCCTGACCATGCCCCGTGCCCCACCCGCTCCCGCGTCCCCCCAGCCCCGCGCAGCCCTGAGCGCCCGCATCTGTCGCGCCGCCGCGCCAGGCATGCAGGTGAGTGAAAGGGACCCCACGCCCCCACCCGAGCGAGCCCGGCCCTGTCCTTCCGAACCCCGAGCCTTTCGCCCCCGCCTCTCCCAGCGCGGTCCCTCACCCAGGCTCCAGCCTCCAGGCTCCAGCCTCCAGCTCCAGCCCCGAAACGCTCCTTCCCTGCCGTGCTCTCCATCCCTCCTCCGGTCCCGGCTCCATCCTGTCCTCCTAGCGCAGCGGTCACTGTCCCCGCGGCTGCCTCCATCCTGCCTTCGGTTCAGGCTCTTTGCATCCTCTTGTTTCGGGTTCCCTGTCTGCTCTGGGTACTCCCTCCTTCGGAGTCCCTTTGCCAACCTCCTGATCCTCGTTTTTCTCCCCTGACCTCCTAGTCCTCGTTTCCTCCCTAACTCTCGCTGCTTTTCAGCCCTGTGCTGCAAGAGCAGGCCTTTGAGAAGGGTAGGCTGGGGCAACGCTGGAGATGGGGCCGGAATCCCCCACACCCAAGGCTCCCGCCCCACCCCCATCTCCTCTTCTGCGCACAACAGGTCCTCGAGGCGCGAGGAGAGGATGGGGGTGGCGCGCCAGCCTGGGGACTGCGGGCTTCCTGGAAGGGGTGACTAAAGAGGGTTTGGGTCCAGGGATCGGAGTTGACGTGTGTGTGTGTGGGGGGGGGGGGGGGTTGATGCAAAAGGCAGAGAGGTGAGTCCTGGAGTCAGCTGGCCACACATGTCTCTGTGAGCCCTTCTCCGCTTCACTGGTTCTTTCCTGCACTCCTTACTTCCTCCCTCCAGCTTCATTCTTTTCCCATCCTTCTCTCCCTTCTTCCCACCAGGCTCTTATGCCTATCTCCTCCCATAGCTCCACATCCCTTTACACGGAAAGAAGCAATTGCCAACTCCTCCATCTTTGCTGTTCGTCTTCGGGTCCCCAATGCCTTTCTCTTCTCATTTTGTCCTGGGTATTATGCTCCCTCCTTTCCCATTTCCCCTTTCCCCAACTCTGCTGTTCTCCACCCCTTTCTCCTTTCCTCTTACACTGTCTCATCTTCCCTTCCTGCCTGGACCTTTCCTTCTGTTCCTTCCTGCTCTTTCCCCTCTTCCCCTGTTCCTCTGACCCCTTCATCCTGTTTCCCTCCCTGACCTTTAACTCATCCTATTCTCCCTTCAGCATCCTCCAAGCTTCCAGTCATCTATACCACCCCCCTTCTGTTCTCTTTCAGGACTGACTTCTGTCCCTCCCCCTGTGCTCTATATGCTGGCTTCCTCTTCACCCTTCTCCTCCCTGTTTGCTTCTAACCCATCTTCCCTTTCTGGGCCCTTCATCCTTTCACATCTCTCCCCACTGCCCACTTTCCCATTCCCTTCCCCACACTTTCCTATCTTATTTCCATTATTCTCTGACAGTAGTTAATGTACAGATTTGGACCCAGAATCCAGAGGACACAGGGTGTCATATCCTCATTCACTTTGGGGAGCCTGGCTCCCCCTGCTCCAACGCCCTCAACCCTGAAAACATGTCCTTCCTCTTTCAAAACCAACCATCCTGATTCTCCCAGGATTCTTTATCCAGGAGAACTACATTTAAAGGGGGTGGTCTCGCCCTGGCCGGTTTGGCTCAGCGGTTGGAGCGTCGGCCTGCGGTCCGGAGAGACCCGGGTTCGGTTCCGCTAAGGGCACGTACTTTGGTTGGTTGGTCGTGCGGGTGGCAGCCACTCGATGTGTCCCTTCACATCAATGTTTCTGTCTCTCTCTCCCTTCCTCTCTCTCCCTCCCCCTCTATCTGTACAAAAAAATGGAAAGATGTCCTCGGGTGAGGATAAAAAAAAAAAAAAAAGGGGGTGGTCTCTCCCCATTTCCACCTCCCTTCAGAGAGCATCTATGCATTTGTATGATTAAACATTGAGCAAAAATTATATTCTGTAGTTTTTCTCCCACTCACCTCTCTCTGTCACTTTTTCTTTCCTCCCTCCATCTTTTCTTCCCCTTCTCCTAAAGATGCAGATTCCTGGGGCCAATCTACAAAAAAATGCCTGGGACTACAAGTGGGGTGGGCAGGCTGGGCATGCACCACACACTCTGTCACTCACTCAGATTGACTTCCTCTTCCCTCTCCCACCCTCAGACTCCCTCCTGAATGGTAGGTGCTCAAGGAATCACAAGGTTCTTGACTCTAAATTAAGATCAAAGAAAAGAAAAGCTTGGAGCTGTGGGCAGAGGAAGTGAAAAGCAGGCCTGAGAAGTGAGAGTTGACCATGGGGTGGGGCATAATAGCGACCTGGGGAGTTGTAGAGAGGGGCTGGGAGCTAGACAGGGAGCCACTCTAGGAGCCCCCCGCCCCCCAAAGGAGGCTCTGCAGCAGTGAATCCTGGGTGGCAGCAGCTTAGTTGGCAGCCAGCAGCTTGGGAGGGGAGATGTGGGAGAATTGGTGGATGAATGAGCTGGGGAAGTACACAGAGCAGGGTGGGGATGTGACAACCCTTTCTCTCCCCTAGTAAAGGCTGAAAATCTGGGTCACAGCTGAGGAAAATCTCGAACATGGAGTCCAGGATGTGGTAAGTTTGGCACAGCAGAGGGATCTTGGAGGCCACTTTCCCTGAGGTCTTGGCCTTTTCCTCCCTAGGCCCACTAAGGGCCTTCCATCCTAAGGGCTAGACCCTGGGAAGATAGGAAATGAAGCTGAGTCTTCCCAAAGCCCACCTGCTTTTGCAGAGACCTGGAGAAAGGCAACTGGGGATCTCTGGTATGAGCCTGTCCTCCCCTAACATAGGTGCAAAACTGGCTTCTGTCTCACCCTCTCTTTCTTTTTGCAGGCCTGCACTGCTGCTGTCCCACCTCCTCCCTCTCTGGCCACTGCTGTTGCTGCCCCTCCCACCACCTGCTCAAGGCTCCTCCTCCTCCCCTCAAACCCCACCAGCCCCAGCACGTCCCCCATGTGCCCGGGGAGGCCCCTCGGCCCCACGCCATGTGTGTGTGTGGGAGCGGGCACCCCCACCAAGCCGATCCCCTCGGGTCCCAAGATCCAGGCGGCAAGTCCTGCCAGGCACTGCACCCCCTGCTACCCCATCAGGCTTTGAAGAGGGGCCACCCTCATCCCAGTACCCCTGGGCTATTGTATGGGGCCCTACAGTATCTCGAGATGATGGTGGGGACCCCAACTCTGCCAATCCTGGATTTCTGCCCCTGGACTATGGTTTTGCAGCCCCTCATGGGCTGGCTACCCCACACCCCAACTCAGACTCCATGCGGGGTGATGGAGATGGGATCATCCTTAGAGAAGCACCTGCTACCCTGAGGCCATTCTTGTTTGGGGGCCGTGGGGAAGGTGAGTGGGAATGGGAGAGGCGAGTAGGGATATGAGGGTGGGGAGGCTGATTGAAGACTCAAAGGGCAGTATGAGAGGCCTTGTATGTTAGCTTCATCCACAAATGTGTCAGGCACTATGCTGACACAAGAGGCACAAATGAAGATGTGTCTGAGTCCTGGAGGAGCTCAGGTCCACTGAAAAAGACAAATGTGTAAACACTTGGGGATGTCAGTGTAATAAGTACTCTACTAGAGGCATGCACAGCATGTTTTTTTTAACTTGTTTTTATTGATTTCTTAGAGAGAGGAAGGGAGAGGGAGATAGAAACATCAATGAAAGAGAAGCATCAATATTTATCAGCTGCCTCCTGCATGCCCCCTACTGGGGATCGGGGATCAAGTCCGCAACCCACAATCCAGGCATGTGCCCTGACCAGAAATTGATCCAGCGACCTCTTGGTGCAGGGGTTGGTGCTCAACCACTGAGCCACATGGACTGGGCACGCAGCATCTTTTTTAAGAAAAGAGAAAGAGCCCTGGCTGGTTTGGCTCAGAGGTTGGAGCCTCAGCCCACGGACCAAAGATCGTGGGTTCATTCTAGTCAAGGGCATGTACCTCGGTTTCGGTTCGGTCCCTGGCCCTGGTCAAGGTCCTGGGGGAGGCAACCAGTTGATGTGTCTCTCTCACATCGTTCTCTCTCTCTCTCACATCGTTCTCTCTCTCTTTCTCTCTCTCTCTCTTCCTCCCTCCCTCCCTCTCCCACTCTGTCTGAAGATAAGTGAAAAAGTATGTCCTCAGGTGAAGATTTAAAAAAAAAGAGGAGCCCTGGCTGGTTTGGCTCAGCAGTTAGAGCATCGGCCCATGGTCCCGAGAGACCCGGGTTTGGTTCCCGCTAAGGGCATGTACCTCGGTTGCAGTTTGTCCCCGGCCCTGGTTGGTCGTACGGGTGGCAACCACTCCATGTGTCCCTTTCACATCGATGTTTCTCTCTCTCTCTCTGTTCCTCTCTCGCCCTCCCACTCTACCTGAACAAAACATGGAAAAATGTCCTCAGGTGAGGATAAAAAAAAAAAAAAAAGAGGACAGATTGCCTCTGCCTGGGGATCAGGACACCTTCCAAGAACTGACATTTGAACCGAATCTTGAAAACAGGGTGCATGTATTCCATGCAGAAGAACACCATGAAAGGACCTCCAGGGTGACATCTCAGCTCAGGCCGTGCACAGGGTCAGTGGTTTGGGGGTGAGGCCAGGGCAAAGAGATGGATGTTTCTACCCTGTGGTTTCTGTACAGAGAACAAGGTTCTCTCTGACCTTGGAGCCCCCTCCTCATCATATGTATACAGGTTTGAGAAAGTGGAGAAGGATTTGGGAAGAAAAGAGCTGAAAACTCTGGTAAAGCTGATGAATAGAATAAAGGGAGCGGGACTTTAGAAAGAGTTGGGCAATATGGATTCACACTGGCAGCTCTTCTCAAGCTTACTGAATCTGCAGCCTAGCCCATCCCCCTACCTCTTGGTTCCTACCACACTAAGCCTCTCTAAAACTTTCTTCCCACCCCAATCAGGTGTGGACCCCCAGCTCTATGTCACAATTACCATCTCCATCATCATTGTTCTCGTGGCCACTGGCATCATCTTCAAGTTCTGGTAAGCTGGAGGGAGGAAGGTGCTGGCAGATGGGAACTGAATGTTTGGCTGGAAGGAGGGAAGGAGCGAGGGCAGCAATTTTGCCGGGGATGAGATAGGAAGTGGTGGATTAAGGCAAGACTTTAGGGAAAGGTAGTTAAGGATTTGGGTTGGGGAGACAGTGATAAACCAGGGCACACTCATTCTCCTAGGGAAATACAAGGATAGGGAGAAGTGATGGATTATTTATATGCACTAGGGGCTTTGGTGGGTATTCCTTGTCTCCATTTCTTCCAAGACAGAGAAAAATGACACAGTCTGCAGAGCCCCTTCTCAGGGCTCCTGAGGAGGACGGAGCAAATCTGGAACTTTCTTTGAGTGAATTTAATAATGGGTCACTCAGTCCTTCACACTTTACTGAGAGAATCATTAGACTAAAGTGTCCAGGTCATTAACTGACTTTGAACTAGAACTAAACCTGCCAAGGCGCTTGCTGAGGAGAGAAATGGTTCTTCTGGGTATGCATGGGGGAGGAAGCAATTCTGGAGGACTCTACCTGTGGTGGGGAGGAAGTACTAATTCTGTGGATCTGGACCAGGTTGGGAGGATGGTTTTGATCCCAGAGCACCAGGGAGGGGGCAGAGTAGAAGTAGTTTTATGGACACATGGTTTCAGGAGATTTGGTGTAGGGAAATGTTAGAGGCCAGTTTCTCTGCTATGTTAGGGGTGCCAGAGGGAGGCTGGGGTGTCCAGCCCTGTAGACCCAGGATGGGGGGCTTCTTAAATGTGTGAGAGAACCTCTTCCCTTCTGGTGCACCAGCTGGGACCGCAGCCAGAAGCGGCGCAGGCCCTCAGGACAGCAAGGTGCCCTGAGGCAGGAGGAGAGCCAGCAGCCACTGACAGACCTGTCCCCAGCTGGGGTCACTGTGCTGGGGGCCTTCGGGGACTCGCCCACCCCTACCCCTGACCATGAGGAGCCCCGAGGGGGACCCCGGCCTGGGATGCCCCAGCCCAAAGGGGCTCCAGCCTTCCAGTTGAACCGGTGAGGGCCAGGGCAATAAGATGGGAGGGGGGGAGGGGAGGATATTTAGGTCTCTGGAGCTGTGGTTGGGGGTACTCCCTCCTGGGTGGGTGGGAAGGAGGTAGGCCTGGGCCTCCTACAGCCCCTGGCTCTCCTTCCCAGCCTGGTCCCTGGCCCTCCCAAGGAGCCTGGGCTCCTCCTCTCTGGGGGGACCCTTCCTTCTCCCTCTCTCTGTGGATCTATATGTCCTGTTCTCATGCTGCCATTTAACCCCAACTCTGCCCTCTTAACCTTGATTCCCTTTGTCTTGGACTCCCCCTTCAATTCTGGTTTACCCCTTGTTTCCTGACTGTGCCCTTTCCCTCTTCCTCTCAGGATTCCCCTGGTGAATCTGTGATGCCCACCAATGTTGGGGTGCCACCAAGCAGGAGGCCAAGGGGCCGGCATAGACACCATCCCACTGAGGGTAGGGCAGCTGTGGGAGCTGGGGCTGCAGGTGCTCCTGGCTCCTGCCCTGACACACCACCCTGGAACACTCACTGGCCCTATAGGCAATCCTACCTGCTCACCCTCCTTTAAGTAGGGACCTCACATATTTGTGGTTTCTGGTCCCCCATCCCCACCCTTGCACACTCACATGAAAGCCTTGCACACTCACCTCCACCTTCACGGGCCATTGCACACACTCACACTCCTTTTTTTAAAAACATTTATTTTATTTTATTTTATTTTATTTTTTTAGAGAGAGAGGAAGGGAGAAAGAGATAGAAACGTCAATGTGAGAGAGAAACATAGATCAGCTGCCTCCTGCATGCCCTCCACTGGGGCTTGAGCCTGAAACCCAGGCATGTGCCCTGGCTGGCCTGGGAATCAAACCAGGACCTCTCAGTCCATGGAGCGCTGCTCAATCCACTGGGCCACACTGGCGGGGCCACACTCATGCTCTTTGCAGCCAGTCTTCTGCACCCTCTCCCTATCCTCTTCTCTCCCCTCTGCTGATCCCTCACATTCTCCCTTTTATTTCACATTTCCCACTTTCTCCCCACATTCCATGCTCCTCTCAGTTACTCAGTGGTCAAGGGGTGACTTTACCATTTCTCTCACATGCATTTCCTGGCCCCATGTTGTGGTGTTGCCTGTCGTGCCTACTCTCTCCCTCATGAACACCCACTGATCTAGTTTCTGTGGCTCCTGCATGCTGCCCGAGGTGAATGGGAGGTGAGCGGGGGGCTCCTCGTGCCCCCATCTGTCATGGTCCCATCCTGTTCTATGTCATGCATTTCACTGTCTCCCTCACTCCACTCCATGGGTGCTCTCATTACTCTGAGGGCTCCCCCATAAGAATGGGAGTAGTGAGGCCCCACACTTCTTCCCTACCCCACTGCTAAATTCTGTTGTCTGGGAGATGGGTTTTAGGGAGTCACCTGCTGCACTACCCAAGAAAGGGGCTCCCATTTGCCCTTCCCTTCCTTCTAAGTCTCTTTTGTCTTATCTGTCCTGGCTGTCTGTGTTTGTGTGTCACTCTCTGGAATTCAGAGCCCCCAGAGTCAGTCCTCCACTTCCCAGCCTCTCCAAGGGCCTCCCTAATTCCACTGAGGCTGCCAGGGAATGGAGCCAGCTGGTTCAAGGCCATTGGGAGCTCTACTTCCCAATCTACCCCTCCCCTTTCTGGGCTCCCTATCATCTCTCCTTCTCTCCCTCCTTTGTTCTTCCACTCTCTGCTTTTGCTCCCCTCCCCCCAGGTTTGTCCCTACTTCTCATAATTTTTCCACCTTCCTTCCTTCTTCCTCTTACCTGGCTCCTATGCTGTGATATATATTTTTGTATTATCTCTTTCTTCTTGTGGTGATAACCTTGAATTCTTGTGGGATGTAAGTTTCAAAATTTTCAAATAAAGCCTTTGCAAGATACCTGAGTTCCCTGGTTCTGTCTTATGAGCCCTGTAGAGTGGACAGGAGGAGAAGCGATGGGCAGCCAAGAGGGAGAAAAGATGAAGTGGGGAATCCTTCCAGACACAATGTGACTGGCCTGCTCTAACCTGAAGTTGGGATTCAGGGGTTTTAACTTGGGACTAGATGGAAGAAAGAGAAACTAAGGGAACAGTACTGATCAAGAGCAGCCAGAGCAAGAGAAACTAGAAGAGTGGCTTGCCTGTTAGTTGCTAGTGAAGGTCAAGAGAGACCAGGTGAAAGGAGAAAGAAGAAAAGGGCAAATTACATAGAAGGATAGGCAATGGAGCAAGCAAGAAAAGGAAGAAGAGAAAGCTGATAAGACAGATGGAGGATAAAAGGTGAAAGAAGAGAAAAATGGAGCAATGGGAAAGAGGCTGCCCTGCTTGGTTTATTTTCAGCCATGCTCCCTAACCTGCCCCCACCCACAGCTGCGCCCCAAAAGCTGTGTAGCATTAGAAGCCCTGTGGTTAACTCATTAGCTTTCCCCACTCTGCCTTCTCTGATAGGGTGTGAAGGTGGAATCAAGGGGTGTATTTGGGGGAGGAAACCCAGGCTCCCCAGTTGGGATCAGTCACCTCTGAGCCCCCAATTCTAGGTTTGCCTCTTATAACAGCCCTGCACAAGCCCACACATCAGGCTCTCAGCTGTTGCTAGGCTCTGTTGCCATGGTAACCACCCAGGTTTCATTTCTCTCCCCACCCCCATCTGTGCCCACTTGCTCCCTGGAAATGGGGAGCTCCAGGGAGGAGAGGAGACTATAATATGCCAAAAAGCAGTCTGGGCTGCCCTGGGCTGTGTATGCACCCATGTGTTTATCCTTGCAACTCAAATTAGGAATGTACATGGGTTGGTAGGTATGTGTTTTAGGTGTTGGGAGAGCTCACTCAACTGTGTACTCAGGGAAGTATGGCTGAATCTATGCAGCACACAGAGGTGAGTGGGGAGGAGGCAGCATATTTCTCAGGACCAGAGCAGTTTCAGGACCACAGCAGTGTGTGCATTCAGGATATCACACTCCCTAACAAAAAAGACTGCTACAGAGGAAAGAAGCAGAGCGGGGGCCAAGGAGTAATGAACCAACAAAAAGCAGAGGTACAAGGTAAACAAGCTGCTGAGGAGGGCTCAAATGGAGCAATGGGAAAGAGGCTGCCCTGCTTGGTTTATTTTCAGCCATGCTTCCTAACCTGCCCCCACCCACAGCTGCCCCCCCAAAAGCTGTGTAGCATTAGAAGCCCTGTGGTTAACTCATTAGCTTTCCCCACTCTGCCTTCTCTGATAGGGTGTGAAGGTGGAATCAAGGGGTGTATTTGGGGGAGGAAACTCAGGCTCCCCAGTTGGGTTTCCTGAAGAGATCCCAGTGCCCAGTGCCCATGGATGGGAGGGCTGGATGGTACGTGAGGGTGCAGAAAGAGATGCTGATGGGAGGGTTAGGGGCAGTGAGAGAGAGATCCAGGAGGATGGGAGAGGAAGCCTCATTAACCTTTCCCTTCTTTCCCCACAGGAATCTAGTCCCTGTTAGGTGTTGGGGAGGGGGAAGCACTGGCACAGAAGGGAAAGGGGAAGAGGAATGGGAAAAAGAAGGGGAGGGAGCTCAAGTGCCTGGAGAGCACACTCAGTTCTCACCTTCAGCAAAGGTCTCTTCAGAGGGACAGTGTGACCCTGCAGCTCATCCATATGCAGAAGGCACACATGAAGGCCCCTTATGAAGAGGGAATTAATTACTGCCTGATTAGACTGCTGTTTCTCTAAATTTAAATAAATTTAAATACACCAGCAAAACACTGGAGATCCTTACCTGTTCCCTGTTCCTAAATGCCCTCTTCTCCATGGAAGGTCAGATGGGAGAGAGAAGAGGATAAAGGAGACATCCTATTCTTCTGAGTTGTCCTAAAGGAATTACCCCAAACTAAATCACACTGTCAAGCTAACCAGGAAGCTTTGAGGCCACAGGGAACAGATCCTAACCTTTCTCTCTCATGGAGTTCAAATTGAAATTATGGGGCCTTGGAGGTCCTCAGGAGGCTGCAAATGAGTGGTAGAGCAGAAAGTCACTACATAGTGACAGACCAAGAACATAAACAATGGCCATACTACCCTCTTGGTTCTTGCAGGCTACACATCACAGGCACTGCTGGGACCAGCGTCTCTCATGACTGTACTTTCTTTGCCTCCTGAGCTGTGCATCAAATGACTCAGCCAGGCTTCTCTTAAGCATTTTTCTGGAATGCTTACCATTGTGGCTCAGACCAAACCAGGAATGGGGAAGCCCCCAGGAGGAGGGATCTCCCAGGCAAAGCTCAGGGTGTGGAAGTGATTCAAGATGGTAACAGTGTGCCAGCTGGAAAACCCCAGGCTAAAATTAACAGCCCTCCTCCCTCTACACCCCACATTTATCTCTCTAAAGCTTTTCTCTAAGGAGTTCAAGGAACTTAAAACTTGCTTCTTATAGCAAGGGTAGGAACAGGACTGACAGTTGAAGACACTGAGGTCCAAGGAGTGCAGATTAATGTAAAGAGGAAAAAAACTAGAGGAGAACCAGGAGTTATAATGATGACTACTATTTGCTTCCACTTTTCTGTCTCCAAACTCGAGGTTTCTCAAATCACCGATCTCTAACTCATTCAGCAACTGGGTCTGGTCACATCTGAGCCCTTAAGACCCTTATCCTGCCAGCTGTTGCTACTGGGTTAAGACAGACTGTGTGCAGACCCCAAAAATGTGATAAAAAGAATGGATACTTTTAAAAAGATACAAACAAGTACAAGACAAATATATACATCTTCTTAAACATTTAATTTAAATGTTTATTTTTAGGTATTCTTTGCTACTTCCTTGCTGTGATCTTGGGAAAAATCACACACATCTTCAGTCTTTTTTTTTTATTTTTTATCCTCACCCGAGGACACTTTTCCATTTTTTGTTCAGATAGAGTGGGAGGGAGAGAGAGGAACAGAGAGAGAGAGAGAGAGAGAGAGAGAGAGAGAGAGAGAGAGAGAGAGAAACATCCATGTGAAAGGAACACATCGAGTGGCTGCCACCCGCACGACCGACCAGTGCAGGGGACAAACTGCAACCGAGGTACGCGCCCTTAGCGGGAACCGAACCCGGGTCTCTCAGGACCGCAGGCCGACTCTCTAACCGCTGAGCCAAACCGGCCAGGGCCACATCTTCAGTCTTATTTTCATTATTTGTAAAATGGGTATTATAGTTATTTCTATTCAGGTTATTTTGCTCTCTTACCAAGGGGGTGTTTCTGTTAATAGGAGGGACTTCAATTCTGCTTCTGCCAAAAGAGCTGAATCCAGAAGGATTCTGGCCTTACCAGGGTGCACGCTAGTGGCAGCATTCATTTACTGAAAAAACACACAGTAGTCCCTCCTTATCTGAAGGGGTAAGTTCTAAGACTCCCGAGGGATGCCTGAAACTTCGGATGGTACTGAAGCCTATGTATACTATGTTTTTCCTATACATGCATACCTTTCCGCTTAAAGGAATCACTTTGTGGCTTTTGAATTGCCATGTCTGAATTGCCAGCATCATTACTCTTGTGCTTTCAGGCCATTATTAAGTAAAATAAGGGTTACTTGAACACGAGCACCGCAATATCTCCTGAGTCAATCTGATAACCGAGATGGCTACTAAAAAACTAATGGGCGAGGAGAGCATACGTTTTGAAGAGCCTGGACAAAGGGATGAGTCATGTCCCAGACTCAGCAGGATGGCTGGAGATTTCATCATGCTACTCAGAACGGCACATAATTTAAAAGTTACGAGTTGTTTATTTCTGGAATTTTCCATTTAATAATTTTGGACCATAGTTGACCAAGTGTAACAGAAACAGCGGAAAGCAAAACTGTGGATAAGGGGGAACTGCTATATAATCATTCAGCATCTAAGTGCTCAGCAAAGCAGTGGAAAAGATACTACGTATGAGACCATTTCTTCCCTGAGGAGCTGACAGCCTTGCTAAAGAGTCACATACATGAAATAGTTAAAACAGCAACAAAAGGGCCAGCCCTGTGTGGCTCAGTGGTTGAGCATCACCTATGCACCAAGAGATCGACTCATGCACCAAGAGGTCGATTCATGCACCAAGAAGTCGCAGGTTTGATTCCCGGACAGGGCATATGCCCAGGTTGTGGGACCGGTCCCCAAGTGGGGGGCATGCAGGAGATGGCCAGTTAATGCTCTCATCGCTACTTCTCCCTTCCTCTCTCTCTAAAATCAGAAAAGAAAACAAAAAACAAAACAGCAACTAAAGGTACAGACTAAATACTGTGGGAATTCAGAGAAAGGGACCATTATGGGTTAGAGCAATCTGGGAAGGCTTCCTGACCTTTACTGACCACTAACTAAATGCTAGGCTCTGAGAATACAGCAGCAAACAATTCAAAGTCCTCGCCCTCATGAAGCCGATATTCTAGTGGGAAGACGTGAAAATAGTATAATGTCAGTGCCATATCTAAAAGTGAAGCACAGCTCTGGCCAGTTTGGCTCAGCGGTAGAGCATGGGCTTGCGGACCAATCCATTCCGGTCAAGGGCAGAACCTCGGTTGCGGTCAGTCCCTGCCCAGATCTGGGTCGTGCAGGGGGCAACTGCTATTGGTTGTTTCTCTCTCTCTCTCTCCCTTTCTCTCCTTCTCACTCTATCTGAAGATAAATAGAAAAAGATCCTTGAGTGAGGATTAAAAAAAAAAAGTGAAGCAGAGGGTGAGAGAGGAGACAGCGATGTGGACGAAGGCAACAAGAACGTAGAGACCAAAGAAAAGAAAGTATGGGGTGTGGTCAGGGAGGGGTCGGATTTTGATGGCTGGGAAGAGGTTATTATCCTCTATAGGCCTAAGTAGGAACCTCAGAAAACTTACACATCCTGTCCTTACCCGCATATGCAAAGCATTGAGAAATTCTTGGGAGTACCTTTAAGAATAAAGAACGGTAATTTTCTACATCAGCCTAGCGCCACTTAGGTAAGGGAAACCGACCCCAAGTCTTGAAGAATCCATACCTCCGCGCGTACCTTGATGCATAATTCATGAACCTGTCGCGATTCCACCCTCCCACTTCCCCAGAAGTCCCTTCCGGAAGCCTGGGGCCCGCAGTTCTGAAGGTTCCGCTACTGCCCTTAGCAGAACCCGCCTTCACTTCCGTTGTGGCGTCACATCCACAGAGGGTTCTACCGGGTCCCCGTGCAGAAGCCACTTCCGCCCCTCTTTGGCGTAATTTCTGTGCTCAGTATTCCTGGCGCGAGCGGCGCCGGATGTGCTCTACCGCTTCCGGAAGTGACTCGACCTTTGCATTCCCCCCCTTCCCCATTGCCGCCCCCCCAACATTGCTATTTCCCTCCCTCCCCTCATTTTCGTTTCCGGCTCTCCCGCCTTCCCTCCGCGGCTGCTCAACTCCCAGCGTGTGGGGGGAGGGGGGAGGGGGCGTGGAGTTATTGGGGTTCTCGGGAGCACTAGCTGCAGCACCACTTCCGGGTGAGTGTTAGGGGAGGGAGGGCGGTAGAAAGGGGGCCACCCACAGCCTGGAGCCCCCGCCCTGCGGGTGTCTCGCGCGCATTCCGTGCGTGTGAGTGTGTGGATCTGTCTCGCGCCTAAAGTGCGTGCCCGCGCGCTCCGCCGCGCGCTCCCCCTCCCCTCGCCCCACTTGGTCCTCCCACCCCAATCGGCTGCCTCCTCTCTCAGCTAACGCCGTCCCCCCCGCGCTCTGGCTCTGGCGCCGCCGCAGCCGTCGCCGCTGGGTGAGTCTCGCGCCGCTGCAGCCGGCGCGCGCCAAGCTCTCTGCTCCTCCCCCTCCCCTTTTCGCTGGGGGGGCGTGGAAGGGGGGGCTCCACGGTGTGGCTGTATGTGTGTCCGTCCCGGAACCGGAAGTGGTTGTGGAGGAGCGGGCGATGGGGAGGAATGGGGGGGCTTAGGGGGCGGGTGTCTGTCTGGTGGGTGGCAGAGTTCAGCTCCCTGGAGGAGAAGGAGGGACGTCCCAAAGAAGGGTCTTTGAGGAAGGGTTGGGGGACGACATCAAGAGAAGGCTCCCAGGGACTGTTTCAGGGGAGCAGAGGTTTTGGGGGGACAGCTGGGGTCTTCAATAAATAGACCACTGTGCAGCCTGAGGGAGGTACTTCTTGGCGCAAGGCCTTTGGTAGGCAGGGGCGAAGTCCTCGTAGAAGTGTGTGTGGGGGGGACCAGAGGAAGTGGCTGGGCCTGAACTGGCACTGTGCCTGACACAAGGGCTTGTGCACCCCCGCCCCCCAAGTCCTCAGTTTTGCCCTCTGAGCCAATCCTCAGGGGCAGGGACCTTTCTCTTCCAACTCTTCTGTTCTCTGATCCCTGGTTACCTGTGGCCCTGTGGAACGAAGAAGAATCAGTGTCTGAGGCCAGGAGAGGAACCCAAACACTGGTGATAGAGTTCATCTGAGTTTTGGGGAATTAGATTTATTTCCCTTGTGTCTGCATAGGGGTGGCACTGCACTGCTGTTATTACATCCTTGCACCTTTGGATTGTTGGCTGGGGGTCTGCCTGCCTTCTCCACTGACTGCTGACAGTCAAGGAATTCCTCCACAGTTCTTTGGTGTCTTCATCCTCACTGGCCCCTGTAACCCAGACAATTTGTTTACAGAAAGTTCAGGAGCCCTGGAAAGGAGAAAGAATAAAACAACAGGAGGAAGAGAGAGAGAGGGTAAGACAATTTTGGGTTAATGGTTTTTCTGGTTTGGGGGAAGAAGGGGTCATAATAAAATAGGTTTGTTTGGGAAACAATAAGACAGAATTCTTTAAGTAACAGTGGTAATACTGATGTTTGCTGTGGGAGAAAAATCAGCCTTTTCCTACTCTCTATTGGGAGTACCCAGGAAGTTTTTGTGTAAAAAGTTGGCTCTGTACCCCATCACCTTCCATTTCCACCAGTACTCATCAGGTATGAATTATGAAATGTGCAAGTGAAATCACAGAGTAGTGTTGCATTGTGTCCAAAGGAGAAACTTATTTATACTTTGGGGACAGATGGGCCCTAGCTGCTAGTCAAGTCCTTGTGACATAGCTTATGGAATTACTTTCCTGAATTTGGAACCAGCAGAGTTAAGTTTAGAGTGGGGTTCATTTCCTTAATATTACAGCTTAGTGTTTGGGGTGGATCTGTTGAGTGATTGAATCCATGGCACAGTTATTTGAATTTGATGTAGCAGGGTGAAATTTTCAGGAAAAAACTGATTCATAGGTAGTTTGAAGTGGATAAAACTATATGGAGTGGAAGAATTCAAAATATGAGACTTGATGGTGATAGAGTTTTAGGTAGTCTGAAAATAACAGTATATTGATGCAAAAGAGTTTTGAGTTTAGAGCTTGTAATCCTAGAGGTGTGTCTCCTAAAAATCAATTCCAGGCTGGTTTATAAAATGTGTTCCCCTCAGGTTTCTGAGCCAAAATGATGATTAAATATTAGGTGCATATTCCCTCATCTCCAGCCTTTTTTTTTTGCCTGCCTTACATTGCCTAGATCCATTATTTATAGTGGAATGGGCAGCGCAAGGGGAACCACTGTGTTGTTCTTCCCACAGGGTACAGAGTATGATGTTCCAGCAGTGCCCAGGGTAAGAAGGTCATGGCCCAGATTGCCAGCAGTGTGGTGGTAGTGGTCTTACTGGTCTCAAGTAGGTGTGGTGTGAAGGTCTTTCCCAATAGAATTGGGATAAACCTGTTCTGAGTTATTTTGTACTTGGGAGACTTTACATGTTGTAGGAAGGCCCCAGATTCTACTGGGATGGTCCTTCTTGGATGTCCTTAGGACCTGAGAAAGAATTTGTTTCCTTACTGAGTAAAAAATGCTTCTCTGTGTTTCTTCTCTTCAAGCCCTTAACTAATATTGCAATCTTTATGCAGTTGTGCATTTTGGAACAGTTTTACTCAATAGAGTGTCTGAGATCCAAGGGCTAAATTCTTCCTGTAGTTGAATTTGAATGGATTGTTCTTTGCATCGCTATTTCTTGTAAGTGCTTCTAGCGGTGATTACTAAGCTGGAGGCTATAGGACTGATAACTTTTGGGTAGTTCCTTTGTAATTATGTGGTCTTCATGTAATTTTCACTAATTGTTGCTAATAGTTCTCATCACATGAAAATATTTCTCTTTCTTCCTTTCAGGAGCACTTTGAGCATTTTATTCTTTTTATGTTTTGTGCTGCCTTCATTCCACAACCATATGTCTTATGAATTTGTTTTAAGGGGTATACATAAAAACTTAGTAGAGTTGTAAATTATTCAATCATCTACCGATAATCCTAAAGTTAGATTCCAGAAGTCTTGATTCCTAGGTCCATTTTTAGCTACTAAATGTGGTTGGTGTATTTCATGATTTTCTAAAGGTTGGTTGTGTTAAGAGAATGTTATTTTCCTGAGAGAAGAAAATAATGCTTTATTTGAAAAACAACAAAAAATTGCAGTAAGTATCAGAAAAGATGGTGGTCTTCATTGTATATACAAAAACCACATGCTGGAGGCAGTGACTTCTTTATTCCTGTATGGCTGGTAGCACTGTGGAAGGATAGACAGATGGACAGAGCTCTGGTGCAGGAGTCCTATGTTTCATGGGTGTTATGTGATATTGTCTATTTTCTTCACCTCCTCAGTGCTTCCAAGATTTCTTTTGAGATTGAAAAAGAAATAAATATGTAGTTCTTTGAACCTCTTGGAAGAAAAATACTGCCCAACTTAGTTATAGTAAAACTCCCTTATTAACAGTCGAGGCACAGTGCAGTGATAAAGTTGCGATTTGAACCCAGATTTTCAATCTGCCAGTATACTTCCCACTTACTGTGCTTTCTCTTCTTTCCTGCTCTTTGGGGGCTATACTAGAAGCCTTTCCAGTCTAGGGTAAACCAGTGCTTTTTTTGTTTATTGGCATAATCATAAAAACTGGCACTCTGTGTAGAGATAAGATTTCCCCATAATATCATTGGGCTTCTTAAGGTTTTGGAATGTTGATACATGCCTGCTTGGATGTCAGATAGTTTGATGAGAGTTCCTCTATGAAAGAGATTTGAGAGGGTAAATGGTAAAATGGACAATAAACAGGTATTTGAGTGATCTTGGCCCAGGGGTACCCTGTTACACAACTCTGGGGGCACCATTTATATGTATTTCTGGCATGAGCCTTCCTTCTTGACTCTATTTAATCTAATTTCAGGGATACAGAGTTTTAAGTCAGCCTTTTCAGAACAGAGGGATAGCATTTCTCAGGTGTCATTTTGCAGGCAAATATTGCTTCTAGTTGACTGAGCAATACTCTCTATGTGTCCCCATTTTGGGCTGACATATTTTTCAGAAGGCCACAAAATGCATTTATCATTTTGTCCTAGGTCCAGCTATAGCTTATCTTTTTTTTTTTTTTTTTTATCCTCACCCGAGGACATTTTTCCATTTTTTGTTCAGGTAGAGTGGGAGGGAGAGAGAGGAAGAGAGAGAGAGGGAAACATCGATGTGAAAGGGACACATCCAGTGGCTGCCACCCGCACGACCAACCAGGGCCGGGGACAAACTGCAACCGAGGTACATGCCCTTAGCGGGAACCGAACCCGGGTCTCTCCGGACCACAGGCGGACGCTCTAACCGCTGAGCCAAACCGGCCAGGGCTGGCCAGGGCTTTCTTTATTGATTTGAGAGAGAGAGGAAGGGAGAGGGAGACAGAGCTAGAGAACATTGATTGGCCGCCTCCTGCATTCCCCCCCCCGGGGATCAGGCCCACAACCTGGGCATGTGCCCTGACTGGGAATTGAACTGGCAACCTCTTGGTGCATGGGTCTATGCTCAACCACTGAGCCACACCAGCCAGGTGAGAATATCATCTTTAACTGCTGTCATCAGAACCTCGTTTTTTTGTTTTTTTATCCTCACCCGAGGATATTTTTCCATTTTTTGTACAGATAGAGTGGGAGGGAGAGAGAGGAAGGAGAGAGAGAGAAACATCGACGTGAAGGGACACATCGAGTGGCTGCCACCCGCACGACCAACCAGGGCCGGGGACAAACTGCAACCGAGGCACGTGATCTTAGCGGGAACCGAACCCGGGTCTCTCCGGACCGCAGGCCGACGCTCTAACCGCTGAGCCAAACTGGCCAGGGCAGAACTTCGTTTTTTAAAACGTTAGTGAGAACTACCTGAAAAATGCATAGTCCAGTCCTGGAAATATTCTAAATTTTAATTTGTGAATCAAGTCACAATGTCAGAGAGTAAGTACTTTAGTTATATGGTTTTAATCCCTTGTAGAACCATCTCTGCTATTTACTGTTTGCTTCCAATTTCCTCATTTGAAAAATGAGATTACAATACCTTACTTCATAGAATTGTTATAGGTATCAAATGATGCGATAGTTGTAAAGTGGTTTGAACAGTATCTTGAACACAATAAGCACTTAATAAATGTTAATGGTGGAAGTGGTGGTGATGTTGTCCACTGCATCACTTTGTATGCCCTCATTATAGGAACCTACAGGTAATATTTCTCCCTCAGAAACTGCATCACCTGAGCCACTTTTAGGACAATATGAATAGATACAATCTTTTTGGGAGGGAGGGGCCTCATCACAGGAATCCTACCTGAGGACATTCTTATTTTGAGGCCATCAGTTCTCCCTCCTAAATCTTCACATTCGTAATGTGTTTACTTCCTTGAGTCTTTAGAGGGATATTATATATTAGACACTCCTTTCCTTTACTCTCCAGCCATATTCTTTACTACATTTCTTTCATACATTACCACTCTTTTCTGTGTCATTTCTGTCAGCTAGAATGTTAGACAAAGTGGGGCTGTGAGTTAAGGTTTGAGCCCCTCCCAATGTTTTCAAAATCTGTCATTCAATTTATTAAATATGGAGTTGCTTATTGGGTGGTAACTCCTGTGTTAGGGACTGTGGAGAGGTCCAAGATGTGATCCCTGCCTCCCTAGAAGCTTGGCAGGATTGGATCCCCGTAAACTATAATTTGATTGTTTCTTGATTTCTCATGCCTGAGGAGGACCTGTGGCCCCTAACACTGGGAGGAAAAGCTTAGCACCTGTTCCGGAGACTGTCTGGCTTTACTGTATTTTATAACTCAGGGAGCAGGATTTACTGCAGTCAACCTTTAGTCGTTTCATATTGAGCGTCATTTGTGTGAAGCTGTTGTAGTCATGGATTTGGTGCATTGCCTCGCTCCTTTGCTACTTTTTAGGAAAAAGTATGCTGAAATTCAGTTCTGCTTCCCTTTACAGGATTTATGAAAATTCAGGGTGCTGTTTAATAGGGCAAAAATGTGATAAAGATAAGGAACAGGGTTACGTTTAGAGAGAGATCCTTTATGCTTCAACTCTTTTGTTGATGATCTTTGCTAGTTTCCTTAGTCACTACTGGAAGCCAAGTTTCTGTGCTCAGTCTGCCCTCCAGCTCTTAGTATGTCTGATATCTGCTGCCAGCATGTCCTCAGCAGGACCTCTGGCTTTAGGTCACAGGTCCTTCTTCCCCACCTGAATCTTGGTTGCTCTTGGCTCAGAGTAACAACATAGTGATCATGTTTATTTCTTGTTGCTTCTTGTTTCACCATTCCACCAGTCTCATTCTGCCTCTTCACCTGCTTTCTGTTGGGCTGGATCTTTCCTAGTCCAGAATTTTGGGAAGCTGCTCTTGACCAACATACAGCCAATTAAGCCCTTCTAGAAGTGATCAGAATGTAGAAATGAACGAGTGGTGAGATGCCTCAGTTCTGTACTCATTTGTGACTTGCAATATGATTCAGAGGGATCACTTTTCTTGCTTATTCTTCACTCCCCAAGTTTTAAGCTTAATTATCATCTATGTACAGCAAAGAACTCAAGTTCAAAGTCTTAGAAGCCTAGCATTTGAGAACTACAAAGTGGGAGTCTAGTAATGTGTATGTGTTCTGGTCCACTGTTGTCCCTATTCTGAATCTGTTTATGTGGAAATCTGGGGTGCTGCTGCTACGGCTGGTGCTGGAACCCTTTTTTAAACTGGTAACTGCTCAGCCCAGCATGTGTGGTGTCCAGTGTAGTACCATAAATGTTCTTAGACTTTGGGGCGAGTGGGGTGTGGTCCCCAGATATCATATGGTATTCAAAAAATACCTTGATTTTGATTCCTGCCAATTTCATTCTTTAATTCCCTTGGGCATTTTGTGTTTTGGCCTAGAACCTTTTCAAGCTGCATAGAACTCTTGAAATTTTTTTTTTTTATCCTCACCTGAGGACATTTTTCCATTTTTTGTTCAGACAGAGCGGGAGGGAGAGAGAGGAAGAGGGAGAGAGAGAAACATCGATGTGAAGGGACACATCGAGTGGCTGCCACCCGCACGACCGACCAGGGCCGGGGACAAACTGCAACCGAGATACGTGCCCTTAGCGGGAACCGAACCCGGGCCTCTCTGTACCGCAGGCCGACGCTCCAGCCGCTGAGCCGAGCCAAACTGGCTAGGGCGAACTCTTGAAATTTTTTATTTCAAGGAAGGAAGACTTGAGAAATAAAGGAAAAGAGAAACAGTGATAGGTACCCTGCTGTTTAAAGCCAATCTGTAGTTTGCTATGGGCACATTTCTTCCTCTCTCATGACTTCGTTTCCTTTTTTGTCAGCAAAGGAAAGTAATACTAATTCTGTTGCTTGGGGTATGGGAAACATTCTGTGGGTAAGTGAGATGTGTATAAGTTCTTTCACCAGCATCTTAACTAGGATAGCCTCTGTTGGATAGGGATATAGTGCTGAGTGGCTCTGACCAATGGGACTAATATGCTAGATCTTAAGGTCTTTTTTTTTCTTTCTTTCTTTCTTTCAATTTTTATTAATTTATTTTTGTTACAGATGCCCCCCCCCCCCCAGACATCCTCCTCCCCATCTCCTACCATCCCCCCAGCATTGTTGTCTATGTCCATTGGTTATGTAGATCCTAAGGTTTTAACCGCTAATTCCCAGCCACATGATCAAAGAAGAAATCAAGAACTCCTTAACTCCTTTTCTCCAGTGCTAAGCTTCAGACTTATTTCTGAGTGTGATGTGGTCTCTTTCTTCAGGTAGAATGGAAGAATCTCACTTCAATTCTAACCCGTACTTCTGGCCTTCTATCCCCACAGTCTCAGGACAGGTAGGTGGGGTTTGCTTTTTTGTTCTTCCCCCATGGTGTACTTTTCAACTCTGAGTAGTAAGTTCTAATACTATAGAAATTGAAGCAAGACAGCCCTCGTGCTTTTTCACCAGGTCCCCATCACTGAGAATTGTATAGTGTTTCTATTTGGCTTCTCTCTGGAAGCATAGAGATATTAACTATCATTTCTTGATATCCAAGGAGGTAGACAGACAATGCTAAATGTTTAGGGAGCAGACAAAATCAGACTCTCCCTGAAGAGGCCATTTCCCTCCTCTCCCCTTCCTTTTATTTTATTTACTTATTTATTTAAAATTACATTTGACATATAATGTTAGTTTCAGGTGTACATCATAGTGATTAGACATTTATGTAATTTATGAAGTGATTCCTCTCCCCCCCATAAGTCTAGTACTCATCTGGCACCATACATACATTCTTATTATTGACTATATTCCTTATGCTGTACTTTACATCCCTGTAACTATTTTTTTTTTATCCTCAGCCAAGGACATTTTTCCATTTTTTAAAATTCAGGGAAAGAGAGGAAGAGAGAGAGAGAAATATCGATGTGAAAGGGACACATCGAGTGGCTGCCACCTACACGACCCAACCAGGGCCAGGGACAAACTGCAATCAAAGTACATACCCTTAGTGGCAACCAAACCCGGGCCCCTCTGGACCACAGGCCGACGTTCTAACCGCTGAGCCAAACTGGCCAGGGCTGTATTTTTTTTTCTTTATTGATTTTTTAGAGAGAGGAAGGGAGAGGGAGAGAGAGATAGAAACATTGATGAGAGAGGACATCGATTGGTTGCCTCTTGCATGTCCCTCACTGGAGATTTGGCCCAGAACCTGGGCTTGTGCCCTGACCGGGAATTGAACCGGCACCTTCTTAGTACATGGGTTGATGCTCAACCACTGAGCCACACAGGCCAGGCTGTAATTGTATTTATAACTGGTAGCTTGTACTTCTTAGTGCTCTTCACCTTTTTTGCTCATTCACCCACCCTTTCCCATCTAGCGACCATCAATTTGTTCTGTACTCCTCTCATTTCTTTCAGATTGAGAACACGATGTTCATCAACAAGATGAAGGATCAGCTGTTGCCAGAGAAGGGCTGTGGGCTGCCTCCACCCCACTACCCCACCCTGCTGACAGTGCCTGCCTCAGTGTCCCTGCCCTCAGGCATCAGTATGGACGCAGAGTCCAAGTCAGACCAGCTGACCCCACATAGCCAGGCATCCGTTACCCAGAATATCACGGTGGTCCCTGTGCCGTCTACAGGACTAATGACTGCTGGTGAGCAACTCTGCTCTTCTCCAATCTGAGGTGTTGATCTTCCATGATCAGTACCCCAGGCTAGAGGGCTCCAACAACATGGGGAGTGGGAAATGTGTTTGATTACTCAATCAAATTTTTATTAAGTGCCTACTGTGTGCCTAGCAATGCGCTAGGCATTGTGGGGGATACAAAGAAGTAGAAGATGCGGTCCCTGCCTTTGAGGAGGTGACATTCTTTCCTTCTCTGAATCAAGGAGTCTCCTGTTCTCAGAGGTGGAGAAGAGAAGGGAGTCAATCAAGGGGTAAATCTCACTGTTACTGGGGTTGGGGTGGGGACAGGGGTTAGGAGACCATTATTTTTCTACAGGGTTTGGGGTTTCCTATATACTCTGGGCTGGGGGTGGTGGTAAGGGGTTAATTAGACAATGATCTGGGGAAATTAAATAGGACTAGGATCAGGACTAGACAACATGACACCATCTTCTTTTTCTCCTGATCCTAGGTCCTGGTTTGGTAATCACGTCCCCCTCAGGCTCCCTTGTGACAACAGCCTCATCAGCTCAGACCTTCCCCATTTCGGCTCCCATGATTGTCTCAGCTCTTCCCCCTGGCTCACAAGCCCTGCAGGTGGTCCCTGACCTCTCCAAGAAGGTAGCATCAACCCTAACGGAGGAAGGAGGTGGAGGTGGTGGTGGAGGTGGCAGTGTGGCTCCTAAGCCCCCCCGGGGCCGAAAGAAGAAGCGGATGTTGGAATCAGGGCTGCCCGAGATGAATGACCCTTATGTCCTCTCCCCTGAGGATGATGATGACCATCAGAAAGACGGCAAGACCTATAGGTATATATCATCCTGGGGCAGGATAGGGTGAGGATCCTGACTCAACTTCCCTACCCTGTCTGTGTCTTGCCCCTAATCAGGCTGTATGCTCTGCCAGCTTTCCATCTGAGATCCATGTGCATGTCAGGTGTTTTGTCATGGGGCAGGAAGGTAGAGCTTCTAGCACTTCTCTGGTACCTCTTCCCCCAGGATGCAGACCCTTTGGGGTCATCAGCATTGACTTATTTTTGAGTGGCATAATGGAGTTCTTTCTTGTAATGAGGCTTTAGACTGGGTTTAAACTCCTTTTTGCTTACTGCATTTTCCATTTCTATTTTTCCAAGAAACTTTTCTGGTAAGCCCCTTACCAGTGTGCCAGCCACTGGTTCTCAGGCCATATTTGGGCACTGAGCCTGCCTGACCCTGCATGGTTGGGATAATGGGAGGGTCTGTATAAAAAGGTGGGAGGAATAGGATGCTTCCCTTCCCTCATTTGGAACATATGCTTATAAAATGACTGTTTGCTCACTCTCTAATTCATGGAAGTCATTTTGATTCTTTACTGCCTTTAAGTTGTCCATTGCCAAAGAGCATTATATTTGCATGTGGTACTGTACAAAAATAGTTGCATAACTTCCCTGCCCTTTGAACATTGGAAATCTTTTCATTCCCTTCAGAGCTATCAAGGGCCCTAGTGGGTTTGGGGAGTTCAGTCCCAGTGTGCAGAATGGGACAACCACTGTCACAGCTTTAACTCAGACAGGGGCAGATATGCATGGCTGGGAGACTGGGTCTGTCCTTAGTGTACCGAGATGGGCAATGTTGTTCCCATTTTAGGAGCGAAGGGAACTGCGGCACAGGAAATGGACAGAGCCTTGGGCTCATGGATTCAGTTCCTGGCTCCACCACGAACTTGCTGTGTGACCCTGGGCAAGTCCTTTCCCCCTCTCTGGGCCTCAGTTTCCTCATCTATAAAATGGGGAGAATTCTGTTTCTGTCTCCCATTTGTTGGGAGTATATATCAGATAAGATTTGAAATGTTGGGAACTTCAAAAGATTAAAATAGTCATCATTTAGTATTTTTTATTTTTTGTGTTTTACACTTCTGTAGAGAGCATTTATGACTACAGAGCATTTAAAGCCCTCTTTGTAAGTGAAAATGAGGGCAGTGTGGCTATGTAGAAAGTGTTGAGCACTGCAGAATTCAGTTTATAATCCGAAAGTTCATTACAGCTTTATTATTACAGGTGTACCCTACTTTATACAATAAAAGTGTTCCTGGAAAATGTTTACATCATATCATATTATAAAGGTACCTGACAAGTTTGATTCGTTTAAAGGCATTCTTTTATATATCATTTCATAAAATGAAAATCCGTCTTAAATATATTTTGTAGAAATCTGGATTTTTATGTATTTGCTTAAAGTGAGGTCATTGTGGCATGGAGATGCGCCTGTATAAAATTTGCTGTGGTAGGAGTAGGGGGAGGATTCTCTGACACCTTTGGAGCCCTTCACATGGATCAGGGTCCTCTGATTCTGCCAGGGTTTTCTTGTTTGTTTGTTTGTTTTATTTTGTTTTTTGACCTACATTAAAGCTATCTCTGGACTTCTCAAACTGTGTAAATGGAAAGAAATGTGAATATACAATTGGAAAGAAGCTCTGATGGGATTTTCCACACCCTCGATGTTTTTGGAATTCTTGCCAGGTCCCATGCCTAAGTGACTAAAGAGAACTCTGAAATTTAAGGTGACTTATTATATTCTAGGTGAATGGGATTTCTTCAGAAACTCTGAGCTCTGAAGTTCCATTGGAATCTTTTTAATTACAAAGAATCCCTCCTTCAATGCATGTGTGGGTCAACCACATCCATTCCTGTGGCCAGTGGCATTTGAGTGTGTATTGTGGAAATTGAGTTCTGTTGTTCTGGGCAAGTCAACTTACTGCTGACTAAAGAGTTCCCATCTGTAAAATGGGAAGATCATTCATGTCCCTCATCTGTCTTGTGGAAATGTTTTGAAGGAAAATCAGAGTATTTGGGCATCTTAGGGGGAAAAAATGAAATGATAATTCAGAATGGTTATTGTAAGCAAGGCCATTGCATTTCATGCCTCCAAAGGGGCACCGTTCTCATGTTGGATGTGAATGGCGGCCCCTGGAGTTCTGCACCCAGTTATGTGGGGTGCTGGCTTTTCTGTCTTCCACTAACTCCCAATTGCCACAATTCTCCTAAATCAGAGTTCTTTTCAACCACCCAACACTTTGCATTAAAGGGCTTGTACTCTTTTATTTGGCGTTATAGGATTTCAGAGTTGGAAATACTTTAATGGTCACCTAAGCTGTCTCTTCTCTATAGTTTTAGTACTCTAAACATTCCTGGAAGATGGCTGTCCAGCTTCTCCTTGAATACCTCTAGTGTGAGGAGACTTTAAGTTAGGCTAGACTCATAGCTTTGTAGTGAATAAATGTTTGTCCTTTAACACATTACTTAACCTTTCTGAGCCTTTGTGTTCCTTTCTGTAAAACAGGGATAATACTTGATAGCTTGTTGTTGTGAGGGGTGGAAACAATGTGTTTAAGGTTCCCTGGCAATATCAGGCATAACAAATGGCAAACTATCATTATTATCATCATCATTATGTCTAGTACCTTTTGAGACTGCTGGTTTTGTTGCCAGTCCATTTTCGATGAATTTAAGTTTTGCAGATTCTTCTCTAGTTGAAAACTTTGATGAAGATGGTTATTTCCTCTTTTGTAATTAATTTCATATTAAGTGTGTGATTGTGTTCAGCACTCATACACTAACTAAATGAGATTTTGTTTGAGTTAAAATGAATGTGTTGTTTCACCTATGAGAAAGTTTAACAACCAAGGGAATTATTTTGTAACTTTAGTACAGTTCCCCTCCATGTGACACTGTGTCCAGTTTCTAACCTCAGTCTTAGTGAAACTATAGTAGCATAAGAGCATCCGTCAACACTGTGTATTCAGATGCTGTTTATTATTCATTTTTAATATTTTTATTCTTTTTAAGAGAGAAGGGGGGAGAGAGAGACACATCAGTGTGAGAATGAAACATCAATCAGCTGCCTCCTGCATGTCCCCCTGCTGGGCATCCAGCCTGCGACCCAGGCATGTGCTCTGACAGAATCAAACTGACAAGCCTTTTTGGTGCGTGGGACGACACCCAACCAACTGAGCCATACTGGCCAGGGCAATGCAGTTTTATTATTAGAGAACACTGGCTTACTTTTGACTGTCCTGGGTTTTCGCTGGCCCTTTTAGGACAGATATTTATCTCTCCATTTTACAGACCAGAAAATTAAGGTCTGGACTGTGAGCAATCCTATAACTGAACTCTGAGTAGAGAGCCCAGGTGTCCAGACTTCCCCTTGGCTGTCTTCCATTGGCTGTGTCCTTTGGACTGTGCTACCTATAAACAGACCTCCCCACCTCCTATACAATGTTTGGGCATCCCAGACAATAGTCAGGGATTGGTAAACTGGTAATTGGGTTTCCTTCAGAGTTATCAAGTAACTAGAGAAATAGAAATTGGCCTTAATGATTAGAATTTTAATAGAAGTATTAATAGAGAGATTCTACCCAAGCTAACATTGATATATTTTTCTCTGAGGTGCTCAGAGTTTTTTGTAGCCTTGGTCTCAGTTATTCTGTAAAAATTCTCCTGGGATCATAAAAAAGTAGGAATCATCCTTTACACCACCCCAAGCAAGCCCCTCTTACAAAGATAAGTTGGGAGGACCCAAAGAAGAGGGACTTATCTCAGTTACCTGGCTTCCAGGCTACTGCCCTTCCTACCAGCCTACATTGTGCACTGGTGACTTGTTTTGGGATGCTAGGGTTCTAGCTCAGTTATAAGTAGCTTTTACCCAATAAAGTCTGAATAGTTGTGTTTTGTCCTGCTCAGAGGTCTTCTTACTTGGTATTGTTGGGCAGTGTCAGAGTAGGATTACCAACTCAGGTAATGAGTGAAAGTGTATTCAGATACTATTGATGTCAAGCCAAAGTGCTGACACTGGCTCTGTGTGTGAGGAAAGAGGAAAGGTTTAGTGTGGAAGCTCAGTGTTTTGCAAGTATTTTTCTTCTAAATATTTGAGGGACACAACCACTCCCAACAGACACCTTGGCTTGTTGCAAAAGTGGTTCTCACTTGATTGCCTAGGGGGTAGGGGTGGCTGGTGGAACATCAGATACAGGGTGGAGGCCAGACATACGTGGATTGGAAAAGCCCCTCCAAGTGCTGTAATTCTGATACTTCCCCAATTCCATCCCTTCAGGAATCCCTGGCAACAAGGAAATAGGAGAAAATCTGAGAGAAGGCAGTTATCTGAGATAGGAAGGGAGTCCTGGGTAATCTAGTCAGTTTGTCCTCTATCATTTCAGGAGCTTGAGGAATACCTGAGGGATGTATTTTATACATGAGAAATTGAAGGAAAGAGTTCTCTAAAGTTTGAAATTAAGTTATAGGCAGAAGGAAACCAAATTAGCTGATAATCCTAGCCCAGTGAAATTCACATCAGCCCGGGGTCCATAAGATTTTCCTGTCTTACCTGGTTGAATTCTTGTTTTTGTACATACTTAGGGAGTCCAATCATTTAGCAAACATGTATTGAGTATTTATATTTTCCTGGGCTGTGTTAGAAGCTTCATCTATAAAAATAAATAAAACAGAGCTCCTCTCATGGGCCTTACACTGTAGTTGGAGTAGGAGAGAGATCAGAGAGGTTGGCTTTGGAAGTGGAGGGGAGGGTTCAGCAATGCTGTCTTGGTGGGGAGGGTTCTAACCACTGCCCTCACTTGGCCTAGGTGCCGGATGTGCTCACTGACATTCTACTCAAAGTCGGAGATGCAGATCCACTCCAAGTCACACACCGAGACCAAGCCCCACAAGTGCCCACATTGTTCCAAGACCTTCGCCAACAGCTCCTACCTGGCCCAGCACATCCGTATCCACTCAGGGGCTAAGCCCTACAGTTGTAACTTCTGTGAGAAATCCTTCCGCCAGCTATCTCACCTCCAGCAGCACACCCGGTAAGGCTGCTCTTGGTTTTACCCCACTACCTGGCGGTGAGCCCCTCACCCTGAGACCGTGTTGCCTGTGCCTGCTGTTCTCTCCACGTGTTTCCTTTTTTCCTTTTCAACTTTGCCCTTTGGGAGCCTCAATTCTTTCCCATTACTGACTGAAAATTAAACTATTTATTAGGAGTTTGGGGGGCCTGGAAAATTGTGGTCTTCAATCCCAAAGTCTGGAACGATTTTTGTGGTTTCTCTCTATGTCTGTTTGGAAATCTTCTGCAGAGCAGGCCCTGCTTTTACTATATGCTTCAGTTCAGAGCCAAGGTGTGCATTCAACTTCAGGTCCATGGGGAACAGGCGGTATTGATCTTTGTTCAAATTACAGTTTGGAAGCAGGGTATCTGTGGTGAGTGTGTAACCTTAGAACCAAACGGAGGGTTGACGGAACTGAAATCTTTAAGGTTACCAGGAGCCAGGGTTTGCAGCTTTTCATCATCTCACTGCCATTCTAGCCACCGACTTAAGATCAGCAACAACCTAGATCTTGGTGTCCTCGTCATTAGCCTCTCCAGGCTGGAGTTTGTTTGGGAGGAGGGAGGAGGGGGTGTTCTCATCGTCAAGCAACATCATTTCACCCAGCAGAGAGCTGAGCCCGTGGTGTCGAACTGCTTCCTCCTCCCCCCTTCCCTCCTCTCCTCTCCGGCAGGATCCACTCTAAGATGCACACGGAGACCATCAAGCCCCACAAGTGCCCGCACTGCTCCAAGACCTTCGCCAACACCTCCTACCTGGCTCAGCACCTCCGTATCCACTCGGGGGCCAAGCCCTACAACTGTTCCTACTGCCAGAAGGCCTTCCGCCAGCTCTCCCACCTCCAGCAGCACACACGGTAAGGGAGAGTGGCAGGCTACTGCCCCTGCCCCGCTGGCATGCCCTCCCCACCCCCGCCCCGGACACACACAACAACCCGCATGCGGGGGGCGGGGGAGAAACCTGACTGGAGGAGAGACCTGGCTGGAGGAGAACATGACTGGCATCTGGGAAGAACAAGCAACAACATGGAGATACAAGTGGACACTCAGAGAGAGCCTTTCTGGGGCAACAGCAGCGTTGGGGAGATGCAATGACTTTGTGATATTCTCAGATGCATGGGAGGAAGAGATTGACCTGGAGCAGAAACAACTTTTATTTCCCTCATTTTCTTCCCTGAAAACACCTATGCACACATCTTGCAAGATTTTCTCCTTGATGTCAAAGCCGGGGCATTTGAAGATGATATCTCAAACCTTTAAAGCACCACTTACGAACGGGAGATACAGACTTTAGCTGGGTACCAGCCTGGTGACACAGCAACAAGCAAGCTCCAAGAAATGCCAGGAATAAAAAACAAAACCAAACATGTCCTAAATCTTAAAGAGCCAGCAAACAATGAAAAAGCTCATACTTTGTAAGGATGTCCACTGTTTGTGTCATGAATCTGGAGTGACTAGGAGGAAGTGACCCTGCCAACTAGAAGAATTGATGTTCTTCAGTGGTATCTCACATTGAACTTTAGACCATACTTTTACTAGACACCTGGCTGCTTTTGGACGTGGTGATCTTTCTTAAAGTGCTCAGACATCATACTTTGTGAAGAGGAGGAGTCAGACTTTTCTTACAAGGAGACATATCCTGTGATGTTTTCAAGATTTTATACTAGAAGTCCAGAAAACCATCTGATCACAAAGATGGTTCTGCAGTCCCTAATGAGAAGCAGGTGTCTGTGCACCCGCAAGTCCTTGGCTCATCTCAGTTGAAGACGCTATAGAGTTTGGTCAAATTGGTACTAAACTAGACATTACCTACCATTAGGGGGCTGGCCTGGGAAAAGCCTGAAGGAGTTTCTACAAATATTCCTATCACTGCTCCTTTCCACTATTATCATAACTCTGTTTTTCTTTGACACCAGAACTTTCTCTGAGAGTGGTGCTCGAGGCTGAGGAGATAGTTTCTGGCTAGATAGTGGGGGCCAAGGAAGAAGTGTTTTGTATTTCTTTTTCCGTACCATTGTGTTTACCTTATGTTTCTGAGCATTTATCAGGGACAGTTACTGTAGGAGCTTATTGTATACCAAATTTTGAACTGCCTGTCCCTGGGCTGCCAAGCCACCAGTCCCTTCCCCCAGCAGAGAGGAGCCCATCTTGAGCTAAGTGATGCAGGCAGTAAGTAGAAATCAGGCACTACAGCCTGATCTGTGTTAGAGATGAACCAACGCATCCTGGAGATTTCTCTCACACTGCTCCCACTCCTGTGGGAGGGCAGGAGTGGCCTTGAGGCTTGTTAAGGAGCCAATCCCCAAATGGCCTTACTGACATCCTTTCCCTTTCTTGTTTTCTCATCCCATGCAGAATCCATACCGGTGATAGACCTTACAAATGTGCACACCCAGGCTGTGAAAAAGCCTTCACACAGCTCTCCAATCTGCAGGTAAATGTCCCCCCCACACACACATAAGGCCTTGACTCTAGGACCTGGGTTCGAAGTGCCATTTGACTAGTACAGCAGTTTTCAAACTTTTTCAGGACCCCTTCACATTTGTAATAATTATTGGGAAAGGTAGAGCTTTGTTGTTGTGGGTAATATCTATCTATGTAGAGATTATGAAACTGGAAAATGTATTTAGTAATTTGTTTAAAAGATAACAAACTCATTACATGTTAACACAAATAACATATTCCCAAACACACACACACCAGAAAATTTACTGAGAAGAATGGCACTGTTTTACATTTTTTCACTTTTTAAAAATTTAAGGTTTACCAGAAGATGGCTAGATTCTCATGTCTGCTGGTTCAATTTATTGCAGTATTATGCATCATTTAATCTGTGTACAGGTATGAGAGAATGAGAATGAAAAGGCAGACATTATCTTATTAACTTGAAAATAATTTTAACATTATGAATCCCCTAAAACGGTCTTGGTATTCCCTAACAATCCCCATACCTCACTTTGAGAACCACTGGATTAAGGGTAAGGAGACCAGGCAGAGCCATTATTCTAACTTTCAGGATCCTGGTCTGGGCTTCATGAGATATGCTTCTTCCCTTAGCCTGTGGCTCCTGAACTTTCATTTGAAGCAATTTCTACTGCCTCCTGGTGGAAAGAGAACCCGGGAAGCCTGACACCGTGCTTAGGGCTTTCGAGTAAGGTCAAGGAGGCAGGAGGGAAAAGTCAAATACACCCATCCTTATCTCTACCAATTTTCTCAGTCCCACAGACGGCAGCACAACAAAGATAAACCCTTCAAGTGCCACAACTGTCATCGGGCGTATACAGATGCAGCCTCACTAGAGGTGCACCTATCTACGCATACGGTGAAGCATGCCAAGGTGTACACCTGCACGATCTGTAGTCGGGCATATACGTCGGTGAGTGCTCAGTGTCTTCTCCTTCCTTCCTCATAGGCCTGTGAGACTACAGCCTGCTTCACTCTGTCTTTCTGGATAAAGATCTATTACAGTGAATCTGCTGCCTCCCTAGCTCCAACTTACAGTATTGGAACAGAAACTAAATAGACCCATAGCTGAGGAATTTAGGGGGTGCCTGATCCCTTACTTAAGCTTATAGAGATTGCTAAGCAATGATTCTTCATTTTACTTGAACATAAGGCAAAATAAAGCAACTTGAGAATTTGGGGGGAGAAAGATTTCAGTTAGATGTTTCCATTACTCCAGAAAAAGATTGTAAAGTTGTTCCATTCAAAGATCTTTGAGAAAATGACAGCTTTTTCTGTGCCAGTCAAATGTCCATGGTGATTCTAAAGGTTCATCTCTCCTTTCTAGCTAGTAGTGAGCCCTGAAAGTGGCTCATGGGGTGAACTTGCGCATGGCTTCAGAATATCTTTGTATAAGTATTGCTCTATTTAAAGCAAAGTAAGAGCCCAGGATGCTAATTATAAGTAACCTCTTTTCTTCTCTTTTCTCCCTCAACACCTTTTTACTGTCTCCCTCAGGAAACATACCTTATGAAACATATGCGCAAACACAACCCTCCTGATCTCCAGCAACAAGTGCAGGCAGCGGCAGCAGCGGCGGCAGTGGCCCAGGCCCAGGCCCAGGCTCAGGCCCAGGCTCAGGCTCAGGCTCAGGCTCAGGCTCAGGCTCAGGCTCAAGCCCAAGCCCAGGCTCAAGCCCAAGCCCAAGCCCAGGCTTCCCAGGCATCGCAGCAGCAACAGCAGCAGCCACAGCCACCACACTTCCAGTCCCCTGGGGCAGCTCCCCAGGGTGGCGGTGGTGGGGACAGCAACCCCAACCCTCCACCCCAGTGTTCCTTTGACCTGACCCCCTATAAGACGGCGGAGCATCATAAGGACATCTGCCTCACTGTCACCACCAGCACCATCCAGGTGGAGCACCTGGCCAGCTCATAGAGACCTGTGCTGCCACCCACTGGGAAGAGGGGAAAGAAGTTCTGGTCTCTTCTTTCTCCAACTCCTCTTGGTGGGAAAAGTCCTCTTCTTCCTTGACAGGCCTTGGCTCCATCTCCATGGGCCTCAAGCATGGCCTTCCTTCCAAGGATACCATCCTTATTTTCAACTCTTCTTCAAAAGGAATATCAACCCTCCTGATTGGCAAAGGAATACTGAGCTGGTAGTGTAATCCAGCAGCCTCCCCTCCTAAGCATAGCTTTTAACAATTGGGAGTTGGTGCTCAAGGGAGGGATTTGCTATGACCTCATAGAAACTTTTCCATTGTGGGCACTTACTCTCTCCTTACCCTCATAATCCTCAAAGTTCAGGCTGATAGAAGACTAGAGGCTGGCCCTCCCAGATACCAGACAGAAGGGAGCCCTAAATGCAACCAGCCTTCTGTTCTAATCTTGCCTGTGTAAGAACAGGTTTCTCACGTGCCCAGACCCCCTGGGAGCCATTTTCTTCCCCCCATGGTCTCACTTCAGTTCTTGCCTAATACTGGAGGAAGGAGATCTGGGTGGGGGTCAGACTTCCTTTATTTGTAAAGGGGCATGGGCTGAGATGTGGTCCCCAAGGGGCCGGTGATCCCCAAAATGGTCGAGGGTGGATTAGAAGTATGGGTATGGTTTTCCTTGGAGCCTCTCCCCTTCTTTGCCAATCAAGGCCGTATACTCTCAGTCTCCCCATCCCAGAACTTAGAGTTGTGGGAGCTTTGTGTTCTTTATGAAATCCCACAACAAAGGGGTGTTGCAGAGAAGGGAGAGTTCAGGGCAAACACAAGGACTGGACTTAGCTCCCTAGGTGCCACGGTCAGTTGCTGGACACGGATTTATATATAAATATATATATATATATAAATATATATATAAATATATATATGCCCACCCACTCATCACGGCCATTTTTGTTGTAACCATTTCTGTGTTTATAAATGCATTATCTCTGAGAATTTTCATATTTGATGTTTTGTTTATTTTTGCCCCCCCCCCCCCAACCCTGTCTTCTGGTCAGTAACATTTTTATTTTCTTTTGTCTTTTTTTTTTTAATCATGGCAGATTTCAGAGAAAAGAGAAAATGAAAAAAAAAAAATCAGGAAACCAGTTGTTATAAAGCAATTTAAAATGAAGAAAAATCTTATGTACAAACCAAGGGGTGTTTTTAGAACCTTGTATAGAAATAAATTCATGTAAAAGGATCAGAGGCAGTGGAGCTACTGATGTGAGTGAGCATGGGAAAAGCTATTTGGGGAGATGTTTAAGGCCGATACTAAAGGATTTACACTTGAGTTTGTATATGTGAAGAACGAATGCTGTGTGATGAGACTGTATCCTTAGCCATAGAAAGGTAGAGCTTTGATATTTCTGAGGTGAAATCTTGATTGATGAAGGTTTCTACACACAAATCTTGTCATGGGGACTGCATTGCCTAAATATGTGAGAGCAAAGTTTCAATCTTGTGTTAAAACCAGTAAGCTCCTTATCAAAGAATTGCAAGCATGGCCTCTTGAAAGGACCTATACTCCTGCCTGAGCATCAGTGGGCTCAGTGGTAATTACAGTTGGCTTGTGTGTATATACATATATACTCATTATACTGTGGCGCCTAAAACCAGAGGTTTCCAATGGTGGAAACCATAATCAGGATTGAATAACATTGCAGGACAGTTGTACAGAGGAGTAGAGCATGGTCAGAAAACTTGGACATCAGCCCTGGCTCTACCATCAACCAGTGTTGGCCGAGATGCGTCTTCAGCTGTTAAATGAAGGGATTGGACTAGATCACTTCCAAGATTCCTTTTGAGAATTAAAAAACCTTTAAGCACTGAAAAAGTTGTGACAAAGCTCCCGCATCTGATAACATGCCTATCCTCTGGGACTGCTGGGCAATGGAGCTCATTACCCATTGGAGTGGGATAGTCAATGAAATATTACCCATTTAATTTAGGGCTCAGTTTCTTGTGTGGGCATCCAAGATAATCATCTGTGGTGTGACACTGATAAATATCACATGACCAAGTATGCCAATATTTGTTAGCTTCCTGAATATTAACTGCTTTTCCCCTTGTTCTCACCAACAGTTAAAAAGACCCTTATAGCCCCTACCTTCATCACAGGTATTAGAACCAGAATCTACTTTATAAAAAATTATATGCTAAACTCATAGCAATGGCCCTATGAAGTAGATACTATTATTTTCATTTTACAAGGAAATCAGCACAGAACTTAAATTATTTACCCATGGGCATGACATTTTAGAGTGGAATCTAGGTTCTATTTCCATGTGTTACCAATCTGCTCTGCAGTAAACATGGGGTTTCACTTAATACTTCACACATTTGGTCAAAATTATGTGGCTGAAAATCTGTTTCATTAAACACTTAGCACACAACATTGGTAATTATCAAGAATGTGTGAGTTAGGAGTGACAATGCTCTCCAAAACACTGTCTTACTAACATCACTATTAGGTAATGGTCTTTGAGTTCTGTTTCACTAGTGTGGTCACAACCTATCATGCACTTGATTGCTTTCCATCCTGATGACAAGCATTGTCTTCGTTGTACTGTAGCTGAGCAGGGTGATACCTGGCATCTAACTGACCCAGTTGTGACAGCTCCATGTCCCAATCCTTTCAGAATCATGGTGCTAGTTTACATCGTATATAAACTCAAATAAAAAGGGAGACAAAAACAAAAGGGGAGGGCCAGAAGTACTATGTCATTTTATATGAGAATGTATTTGAATGTAAAAGGACAAGAATACTGACAAGAGGTGTGGACAATTAATAGATTTATTGTGAGGATTATAGATTATTTGTATTTATAAGCAAAGTTGATAAACAATCTACTTTTTCCATGTTAAATAATCCTGGGCAGTTGGTGTTCATGTGAGGGAACAGAAATGCCGATGGTTTAAATCTCACAACAATCGGTTTGCCTCCCCAGCTTCCTTAAGAAGCTAAGCTGCCTTGGAGAAAGTCTTGATTCAGCCGGGAGCAGTCACCAGATTTATATTCTGCAAAAGGGGTGAATGATTCGCCAGGTGCTAAAAAGAGATATTTATGAAATACAATCTAAGAGGCAGGTTTTGTGAGGGGGGGTTTCATCCTCATTACCACACATTCCCGTTTTGGAGGGAAAAAAAGTTTGGTAGGAAATGCAAAATGGCGCCCTCCCGTGACGTCATGACTGCCGCGGTCTGTCGCGTATGGGGGCTCAGTAAGGGCGGAAGTGGGCTCAAGCCGCTTCAGGGTGCCTCTACCGGCGGTCCTGGATACTTGCGCAAAAGGACAAGTGTTGACATCGGGCGGATGTGTCCCGGCGGATAATTTACTAAGGGCGGAAGTTCTCTTTAAGGGCGGAAAGGCCCTAACCCAAGAATAATAGCTTAGCGTCTGTCGCGTTTCAGTCACTTCCGGGGCTGATCGGAAGTTGCTTTGTTTTGCTTCAAGATGGCTGCGGGGATGTATTTGGAACATTATCTGGACAGTAAGAGCAGGCTGGAGGAGGGGGTCAGGGGTCACAGAGTGGTGGGGCGGGAGTCGGGGCTGAGGAGGTCTATGGCCTCGAAGTCCCGGTGGTTAGAAGGTCGCAATTGTGAAAGGGTTTCCGGGAGAGAAAATATTGAAGGGTGTGAAGAAAGAGGGGGCGGGGCAGCAGGGTAGAACCCCTGCTTTTAGGTGTAGATGAGGGAGGGGCTGCGCGGTGGGGCTGATAGATGTCGCTTGCAGGGCTGTTGGATGTAGCCGGGAAAATATTTGCTGCCCCCATCTTCAGGGTTTCCAGCCTCGGGTTTCTATTTTTTCTCAAATTATTTCAAATCATTCCCCCCTTTTGCAGAAGGTATATCTGGTTGTTTTCGTATATCACTCACTGCCATTTGGAGCAGCGACAAAGATCTCGCGGCTCCTTGGCTTAGTTCTTTTCCAGAAGAAGCTTCTCATGGGAATGGGGGGGGGGGGTTATGAGTGATCACTGTTAAATGATGAACTGGAACGCTTATCTTCTTGGAGTAAAGACCCAATTCCCTTCGAATGGAAATCTGGTGTTATGTTAATGCCGTTTATGTAACCCACTCTGTCACAAAGCCTGTCACCCTATGCTTATATTTGTCTTAGTCTTGGGAACCATTCATTCATTCATTCATTATGGGACAGACATAATAGCAGGTACTGGGGATATTTAAAAAACAATAAGACAGCCCTTACCCTCAAGGGCTCATAGTCTACTAGGAAACAGATTTTTCTAATAAATATAAAAGTGTGACAAGTGACATACTAAAAATACATTAGAAGGACACTTAGTAACACTGGAGAAGGAAGCTAATTACCTGGGGATGTAGATAAAGCTTTACAGAGGATGTGATGTTAGAATAGAGTCATATTTATTTGCCAATGTGGAAAGAGAAAGGGAATTGCAGGTTGGGGGAAATATCAGCAAAAGTATTATGATGGGTTTGTGGCAAGGTCAGGGAAAAGTGAGGTCAGAGTGTTTGATATATAGGACTCTAAGGTGGAAGAATGGAAAGTGAGACTGGAGAAAGAGGTGGGGGCTAAATTGTGCAAGATCTTTTAAAGCCTAGCTAAGAAACTTGCACTTTAGTGAGGAACCAACAGATTTTTTAAATAGAGTGATTTTTATAAGGGAAATAACTGATGTATGATAAATTGGAGCATGATAACCTTTGTAATAGGGAGATCAGTTACTGATAACAGTCCATCTTAGAGATGAGGACCTTATATCAGGGAGTGATGGAAATATTTAGGAGTTAAATATGACAGGACTAACCGAATGACTAAGTGGTTGAGAAAGAAGGAAGGATCTAAGGTGATGTCTTGATTCCCTGCTTAGGAAGTGAGGTAGACAGTGTGTCATCAACAAGAGAGGAAACTCAGGTGTAACAGCAATATATTTAATTTGGTTTAGACTTAAGCATAGAAATGGTAATTGTATCCATGAGAATGAATGAGCTCAAAATCATTCAGAGAAAACAAGTGAGAAAATGAGAGGGTTAAAGAGTAATCTCAAGAAAACATTAACATATATGGGACAGGCTATGGAAACATCAGTATGGGAATTATCAGTAAGTGTATGATGAGATTCAGAATCCTAAGGGGAAAAAAGTTACTCAAAGGAGAGAAGATGGCACCAACTGCTGCAGACATATATTTTAGGATAGGAATGATAACATAATTTGCTTTCATAAGTCATTGGTGACTTAAAGTAATCTCAGTAAACTGGTGGTAGCAGATCTGTTCTAGGCTCAAGCAGTGGAGGCATTAAAAACTTTGAAGGATAGTCATGCAAAAAGATTTTTCTTTTATGGGACGGACTTAAGAATTCACATATTTATACAAGTATTTATTGAGGAGCTTTTGCAAATTATACTTCTAAACACTAGGGAAATAGGAGAAGAAATCAGGCATGCCCCGCCCTTCTGGAATGCTGGGGAGATAGATACCAAAAATACTGTAACTAATTACATAATTAATTATTTAATTATAGTGGATAAGTGCAAAGAAGTGTAGAGATATAATAACTTTATAGCAAAATCCAGGGTTTTTATTGGAGTCTGGGGAAATTGGGGTTGAGCTGAACTTTGAAAAATAAACAGGAACTTAGTAGGCCAAGAGGTATGGTGGAGGTGGGATGAGGAAGACCGGATGGTTCATTCCAGGCACAGAAAGCAGCCTGTGAAAAGCCAGGAAGTGACAGGAAGAATGCTGGCATGTTCCAGGCACTCAGAGAAGGCCAGTATGATCAGAGCAGTGAGAACACAAAGGGTGACTGACATGAATTAAGGCTGGTGTGAGGTAAGCAAGGGCCAGAAAGTGCAGAGCAGGGCTAGGAATAGTGCTCTAGGGATTACTGTAGGGTTATAAGCAGGAAAGTAACTTGATTAGATTTAGATTTGCATTTTTAAAAAGAATATCTGGCTACTGTATGGAGAGCAGATTGGAAGTGAGTATGTGATGAGTGGTGGAAGATACCAGGAGGGTATTTGTAAATTGAGAGCAAGGAGCTTGAAGACAGAGATTGAAAATAAAGGAAAGGGAAGGGCTGATTTGTAGAGTAAGTCACTGAAGGAGGAAAGGGTGGGAAAGCTGTGCAAAGATGGAGGGGTTAGTTGTGGAGAGAGGCAGACAGCAGCCTCTTCTGAGGAAGGAATGATGAATGCTGTCCAACAGTTCAAAGGAGGGAAACCTGAATCCTTTTGCGGATCTATACTTTAAAAGCAGCTATAAAACCTATGAAGTCCACTGAGTCTTAGTTTCTCCTCTTCTCTCTAGGTATTGAAAACCTCCCCTTTGAGCTGCAGAGAAACTTTCAGCTCATGAGGGACCTGGACCAAAGAACAGAGGGTATGTACAGAGTAAGGAGTCCATGTATATATTAAGTGTATGTGATCATTTCTTTTTCTATTCTGTGTTACCATATCATCTGGTCTGATGTGGAGAACTTTGGCTTCTCTCTCTGTACTCTCTTGCATTTCTTAAAAGGAGAGTAATAATGATCTGCATTTCTATATCAGCCTTTCCATAACAAATGGAATATTGCAACAGTACCTCAAGAATTCAGAGATGCTATGTTCTTTATATCTTCCTCAAGAAGAATTCAACAAACCAAAGTCAACTCTAGAATCATGTCTGTTCTCCATGTTTAATAAATATATAGGAAGGCTAGAATCTTTCTCCTCCATTGTTAATGTTACTGTCACAAATTCAGCGTGGCTTTAGACTGCAACTCACTTTGGTAGACAGGAGCTTTGCTGTATGAGAAGTTCTTAGAGAGAAAGAGAAAAAAAAGAAGGAAAAGCACAATTAACATCAGGATCTCTACACTGTATTCTTCAACCTTACAGAAGCACTAGATACCATCTGTGGCCTTCCTTGGAAGTTGAACAAGTTGAGGCATTCACTTGGACCCTGAGGCTATACTGCAGTGGTCAGGTTGGTCTCTTCAAAATCAAAGATGTCTGTTGGAGCTATCCCCCACACCTGCTGAAGGATATACAGGTCTTATCTTCCATCCTTATGAAACCATGCTCAAGAATGTAACAAGCTGATAATAGAATACCTAACACTGTGATTTAATTTACTTGGGGTAAGTTTACTCATGAAAAGGTGAACATCATCTTAAAATCCTGGATGTAGGCCCTTGAGAACTGCCTGCTGAATTCTGAGAACCAGCTTACTTTCTTTGTAATATAGTTCCAACTCTTGAGTTTATGTACTGAAAGGTCAGTTGGAGATTATCAAACTACATGTTTTTTCAGTTTCCTCCAAGGGCCTTGAAGAAGTGGAGCATAGCAATAGTGTTTGCGCAGTCCTTCCTGTTACTGTTGCTGCACTATGTTACAGTCATGCTTCTGTCTCTTTTTTGTCATCATTTTTTATGATCCCTACCAAGTATTAGGCAGTAAATATTTATAGTCTCAGTTTCTAAGGACATCACCAGCTTTCCAATATTACTATGTTTGGCCTACCCCTGGCCTGTGTGGCTCAGGGGTTGAGCGTTGTCCCATGCACCAAAGAGTCGCTGGTTCAATTCCCAGTCAGGGTGCATACCCAGGTTATAGGCTTGATCCCCAATGTGGGACATGTGGAAGGCAGCCAATCAATGTGTCTCCCACATCATTGTTTCTCTTTCTGACTCTCCTCCCTTCCTCTCGTTCTAAAATCAATAAAGATATATTTAAAAATAAATAAATAAAATGTTTGGATTAAGCCCTGACTGATTAGGCTCAGCGGTTAGAGCATCAGCCCAAGGACCGAAGAGTCTCCAGTTCAATTATTGGTCAAGGGAATGTACCTGGGTTGTGGGTTTGATCCCTGGCCCCAGTCGGAGTCATGTGGGAGGCAACCAATCGATGTGTTTCTCTCACATTGATGTTCTTCTCTCTCCCTTCCTCCTTTCCACTCTATCTAAAAAAAAAAATCAGTCCAGCTTGTGTGGCTCAGTGGATTGAGCATCATCCCATGGACTGAGAGGTCCTGGTTGGATTCCCAGTCAGGGCACATGCCCAGGTTGTGGGCTCAATCCCCATTAAGGGGCATACAGGAGGCAGCCAATCAATGTTTCTCTCTCACATCAATGTTTCTCTCCAAAAAATCAATAAAAAATATATATATTAAAAAATAAGCCCTGGCCGGTTTGGCTCAGCGGTTAGAGCGTCGGCCTGTGGTCCGGAGAGACCCGGGTTCAGTTCCCGCTAGGGGCACGTACCTTGGTTGCAGTTTGTCCCCAGCCCTGGTTGGGTCGTGTGGGTGGCAGCCACTCGATGTGTAGCTTTCACGTCGATGTTTCTCTCTCTCTCTCTCCCTCTCCCTCTATCTGAACAAAATATCGAAAAATGTCCTCGGGTGAGGATAAAAAAAAAAATAAATAAATAAATAAATGGAGCCCAGGCGGTATGGCTCAGTGGTTGAGCATCAACCCATGCACCAAGAGGTCACTGGTTTGATTCCTGGTCAGGGCACATGTCCAGATTGTGGGCCAAATCCCCAGTGAGGGGCATGAAGGAGCCAGCCAGTCAATGTTCTCTCTCGTGGATGTTTCTGTCTCTCTCTCCCTCTCCCTTCCTCTCTCTCTAAAATAAATAAAGAAAAAATAAATAAATGATGTGAACTATAGATGCACAGACCTGGAAGCCAGCAGTAGCAGATGACCCAGCCTTGTCTACAGCACTCCGAGCTGTTGTGGCATATATTTGCAACAAGAAACCAAGTGGCTTTTGAGACAAAAATTTGTCCTTCAAGAAGCAGCAGCAAGCCCTGCAAAGAAGCATCTTCAGACAACAACAAAAACATACTTTGTATTAGTGCAGTGTGCAAAGGATCCCTCATTGTGTTTCAACAATTTAAGTTCCAACTCTGAGAGCAATGTTTGCAGCACCTGAAGGCACCTTTAAAACAAATATTATCAATTTGTATTACTTGAGTACATGGCATAGTACCTATGAACATTCAGCACGTTTTAATTCAAAGGTTATGGTCAATGGAAAAGGTCCAAAGAACAAGAGGAAGAAGTGTGTATCACCTATAGCCACTCAGGGGCCATTGTGACCAGGCCTCTCTCTGTTGTAGACCTGAAGGCTGAAATTGACAAGTTGGCCACTGAGTATATGAGTAGCGCCCGCAACCTGAGCTCCGAGGAAAAATTGGCCCTTCTCAAACAGATCCAGGAAGCCTATGGCAAGTGCAAGGAATTTGGTGACGACAAGGTGCAGCTTGCCATGCAGACCTATGAGATGGTATGGCCCTGTTCATGGCTCCCCACCTACCTCCCATCTATTCCTGAGGGTCCTAGACCCTTCCTTCAGCTGTGTTGGGATCTGTTTTGGGTCTGGGAGATTCACAAAATCTGCCTTAGCCTATTTTCTTTTACTGGCATCAGCCTTGTACCTCTTCTTCTCCTTCCTTTCCACCCAGGTGGACAAACACATTCGGCGACTGGACACAGACCTGGCTCGTTTTGAGGCTGATTTGAAGGAGAAACAGATTGAGTCAAGTGACTATGACAGCTCTTCCAGCAAAGGCAAAAAGAGTGAGGAGGGGGGTGGACTGTGAGAAGCGGGTCGAGGATTCAGAGGGAGAAGAAGCCAGCTCTTCAGCTATGAGGGAGGAGCACCAGGCTGCAAAGAGGGGGAAGAAGGAGGACTTAACCCATCTCTCTGTCTCCCTGCCTTTCGGCTTTTCCCCTCTTTCCTAGAAGGCCGGACTCAAAAGGAGAAAAAAGCTGCCCGTGCTCGTTCTAAAGGGAAAAACTCAGATGAAGAAGCCCCCAAGGCTGCCCAGAAGAAGTTAAAACTTGTACGCCCGTGAGTGTATCAGGGAGCACTTTGCCAGATAACATACTCTTCTCTCCTATGACCCCACTCCCTCCTTGCACTACCCCTTACCACTTTCTCTGTCCTCTGTGTCGTTTTTTCTCCTTACCATTTTGGTATCTGCTGGACAGAGAAGAAGCCCCGCATCACTTGCCCCACCAGGATCCCCTTCAGCCACCTCTGAGAGTCTCAAGTTGTAGCTTCCCTTCCTTCAGATGACACTTTCTTTTCCTCTTGGTATACAGAAGTCCTGAGTATGGAATGCCCTCAGTGACCTTTGGCAGTGTCCATCCCTCTGATGTGTTGGATATGCCTGTGGATCCCAACGAACCCACCTATTGCCTTTGTCACCAGGTCTCCTATGGAGAGATGATTGGCTGTGACAATCCTGATGTGAGAACCGTTTTGCCTCAGGATGGCAGGTTCTGGGGACATGGAGTGGAAACGAGGGGGGCGGAAATGGTTGAATAGTGGGACATCAGGATAGGAAGAAGGTGGTTGGAGTTGTTTGGCCTTGGGACCTCTAGGAATTCTCCAAAGGGATGGGAATACTCCTAAGGAATCTATGAGGGGAGGGCTTCTCTTTTTTTCCTCTGCCCCAACCTGCCTTGACTTCTGCTGCTTCCATCTTTTCTAGTGTTCCATTGAGTGGTTCCACTTTGCCTGTGTGGGGCTGACAACCAAGCCTCGAGGGAAATGGTGAGTGAGAGAGTTGTAGGAGCTGGACTGTCCCTACGCTGAGTGGCAGAGGGCATTCTCCCCTTCACGCACTTTCTTCCTCCCCTTTTCTATCACGTTCTGTTTATTTCTTTTTAGGTTTTGCCCACGCTGCTCCCAAGAACGGAAGAAGAAATAGATAAGGGCCTTGGATTCTGACACAGTTTCTTCCACATCCCCTGACCTGGGCTAGTGGGGAGAGGAATGCCTGTGCTGGGGCCAGGGTGTTCAGGGAGAAGTGGATGGCACAGTGTTGTCATCCTTTCTCCTCCCCTGTCCTCACTACTGGTGCTGAGGCTGCATCCAAATCCTGGTAGAGAGGGGTGCCGTAGCCACTAGGGTATATGCTCTCATTCAGCCCACTCCTTTCAGAAGGAAGTGGTCTTGCCCACTGTCCTTTGCCTCCATGCTGAGGTTGGTGCTGTATTTCCAAGGGACAGTCCTCTTTACTCCCCTTGCTTTGTATTTAAGGACTGGGGCAGTATCGTGGGGGTATTCCCCCAACCCTCCTTAGTCCCTCCACCCTATGAGGGGCTATGGTGTAATACACTTTCATTGTTCTCTTCCTGCTTTTTCCATAGTGGGGGCTCCCCAAGCTTATCTGGGCTGTAGCCCTAGTTGAAGGGCCACCCCTTCCTATGTGCCGAGAGGCTTCGTCCTGGCCTTGTGAATGGGAAAGGGGGCAAGGTGGGATCAGATAAGCCACATGTAAAGGAACTTGGATAGGTGAATAAAAGCTATACCTATTGGCCTGTTGTGTTTTTTATAGAAACACCATTTTAGTACTTGTGCTAAGCATTTTTTTCTTTTGTTTTTGCATTCTCTGAGTTGGATAAGAGGCAAGAGGATGACATGCAAAAAGTAAAACAAGACATGGAACCAGAGGTGCACCAGAATCCACAACTTCTCCACTGGGAAAGACAAAGCTGGTTTTGGCTGGGGAGGAGGATACCTCAGACCAGGGGTTTCCACTGGCAAACCATTTCCCTAGACTGAGCTGTGTTTACACCTGAGCTCCCTGTACCTGACCCCTACTCTTTGTTTCACCTTTTGGCTTATTTCTTACCTGGAGGATTCCTCTCTGGTTTCTACCTAGGTAGGCCCTGACTTTGTTTTGTATATTCCATATCTGCTGCCTGAGAACCCTACCTATACTCACTTAGGCCTATCTATGGGCAAATTGTTTCTTGAAGCATGTTTTCTCATCTGTAAAACAGGGATAATAATAGTATACAGTATAGGATTAATTGGAAAAGAAATAAGGTGATGCACATAAGGAACTACACATGACCATCCGGCCAGTGTGGCTCAGTGAACTGAGTTGTTCCATGGACTGAGAGGTCCCAGTTTGATTCCTGGTCAGGTGCACTCCCAGGTTTTGGGCTCAGTCCCCAGTAGGGGGCGTGCAGGAGGCAGCCAATTGATGCTCCCTAACATTGATATTTCTCTCTCTCTCCTTTCCTCTCTAAAAAATCAATAAAAGCATATTTTTAAAAAGAACTACACAGGACCTACACCATCAAAGGTAATAAAAACTCCCAACAAACAGAAATCCTGGACTGGATAGCTTCTCAGGTGAATTTTTTTTAACCAAACATTCAAAGAACTAACACCTATAATTCTCAAACTCTTCCAAAAAAAAACTCAAAAGGAGGGAAGACTCCCAAACTCATTTTATGAGACCAGCATAATTCTAATTCCAAAACCAGATAAAGGCGCTACAAAGAAAGAAAATTATACTCCAATAATCCTGATGAACATAGATGCTAAAATCCTCAACAAAATATTAGCTAACCAGATCCAGCAATACATTTAAAAAGATCATATACCATGATCAAGTGGGATTTATTCCAGAGATGCAAGGTTTGTACAATATCTGCAAATCAATAAACAAGATATGCCACATAAACAAAATGAAAGATAACAATTAAATGATCATACCAATAGATGCAGAAAAGGTATTTGATAAAACCCAGCACCCATTTGTGATAAAAACTTTCAGAGTCCTAGCCACAGTGATCAGACAAGAAGGAAAAAAAAAAAAGGCATCCAAATTGGAAAGGAAAAAGTAAAACTGTCACTATTTGCAGATGACATGATACTGTATATAGAGAACACTAAAGATCCTACCAAAACACTACTAGAACTGATAAATGAATTCAGTAAAGTAGCAAGATACAAAATAAATATCCAGACATCAGTTGCATTTTTAAAATCTTCACCCAAGGATATTTTTTCCATTGATTTTTGTAGAGTGAAAGGAAGGGGGGTGGGCATTAGTGTGAGAGAGACACATCGATTGGTTGCCTCCCATATGTGCCTCTACTGGGGCTGGGATCAAACCTGCCCAGATACATGCCCTTAAGTGGGAATTGAACCTGAGATCCTTTGGTCCAAGGGCCAATGCTCTAACCATTAAGCACACCGGCCTGGGCTCAGTTGCATTTTTATACACCAGTAATGAAGTATCAGGAAGGGAAACTAAGAAAACAATCCCAGTGCCAGCTTCTTGGGTCTCAATGAGGCTGGGTGAAACTGCAGAATGGGAGACAAACCAATTTGGGAACAGATTGGATCCAGTTTCAACATTACTGCCAGTTATTTGATAATGACAGAATCCAACTAGGGACAATTTACATTTTCTGGTTTTCAGATTGACGCATCATGCCTTACATGGGAAGGACAGCAATTCCAGGGGAAAGCTGCCATTGTGGAGAAGTTGTCTAGCCTTCCATTCCAGAAAATCCAGCACAGCATCACGGCACAGGACCATGGCACAGATAGCTGCATCATCAGCATGGTTGTGGGCCAGCTTAAGGTTGATGAAGACCCCATCATGGGGTTCCACCAGATGTTCCTATTAAAGAACATCAACAATGCTTGGGTTTGCACCAATGACATATTCAGGCTTGTCCTGCACAACTGGCTGACCTTCTCCCAGCCAGGCACTCATGCTGTTTCCTGCTCCCTCCTCTTACTGATACTATTCACACTCTTCCAGATGCTCCAAATATCATACAGAAATGAGCAGGGCTGTGGTGGAAGTGGGTGCAGTGAACTGCTGCCAGCTAGGTATTGTGCATGATGTTTGGATGCTAGGTTAGTTACATTTGACAGGAGAAATTTGTTTTGTACCAGCGCATGCCTTGGAGAGACCTAAGTAATGCAAAAGGCTGTTTCTGTTTTGTTTTTTAATCTACTGACAAGTTGCTCTAGTAACCAAAGAAAGTGAAGGAGAAAGCAGCTGCCTCACCACCCAGATATTGGTTTGTTCAGATGTTTCAATGCCTCATGATAAAATAAAACCACAAAAATTTTCTTTAAAGTGTTTTTAAAAAAGAAAACAATCCCATTTACAATTACATTTTTAAAAAAATACCTAGGAAGCCCTGGCCGGTTTGGCTCAGCGGTTAGAGCGTCAGCCTGTGGTCCACAGAGACCCGGGTTCGGTTCCCGCTAAGGGCATGTACCTTGGCTGCAGTTTGTCCCCGGCCCTGGTTGGGTCGTGTGGGTGGCGGCCACTCGATGTGTCCCTTTCACATCGATGTTTCTCACTCTTCCTCTCTCTCCTTCCTGCTCTATCTGAGTAAAAAATGGAAAGATGTCCTCGGGTGAGGATAAAAAAAAAAAATACCTAGGAATAAATTTAAACAAGGATGTAAAAGACCTATACTTGGAAAATTATAAAACACTGAAAAAAGAAATTGAAGAAGATACAAATAAGTGGAAGCATATACTGTGTTCATGGATAGGAAGAATTAACATCATTAAAATGTCCATACTATCCAAAGCAATCTATAGATTCAACGCAATTTCAATTAAAATACCAATGGCATGTATCATAGAACTAGAACAAATATTTCAAAAATTTATATGAAACTACAAAAGACCCTGAATAGCAATAGCAATCTTAAGAAAGAAGAACAAAGTTGGAGGAATCATGCTACCTGATATCAAAGTATACTACAAAGCCATAGTAATCAAAACAGCATGGGTTACTGCCAGTTTGGCTCAGCAGTTAGAGTGTCACCCTGTGGACCAGAGAGACCCAGGTTCGGTTCCCGCTAAGGGCACATACCTCAGTTGCGGTTGTCTTCAGCCCCAGTTGGGGTTGTGTGGGTGGCAGCCAGTTGATATCTCTCACATCAATGTTTCTCTCTCTCTCTCTCTCTTCCTCCCTTTCTCCCTTCTGCTTTATCTGAAGATAAATGCGAAAATGTCCTTGGGTGAGGATAAAAACAAACAAAGAAACACCATGGTACTTTTAAAAATAAAAACAACTGGCTCAGCCAGTGTGGCTCAGTGATTGAGCATCGACCCATGCACCAGGAGGTTGCCAGTTAGATTCCCGGTCAGGGCACATGCCCAGGTTGTGGGACCGATCTCCAGTGGGGGGCATGCAGGAGGTGGCCAATCAATGTTCTCTCTCATCAATGTTTCTATCACTTCCTCTCCCTTTCTCTCTCTCTAAATCAATAAAGAAAAAAAAAAGTTAAATATCCTTGGATGAGGATTAACAACAACAACAAAAAATAGAGTCAATTGGTATATACAGTAGTATCTCCTTATCTGTGGTTTCACTTTATATGGTTTGTTACTTGTGATCAACCATGTTTCAAAAATATTAAACGGAGCCCTGGCCAGTGTGGCTCAGTTGATTGAGTGTTGTCCTATGCACCAAGAGGTCCCCGGTTCCCTGGTCAGGGGGCATATGCCTGGGTTTCGGGCTTGATCCCCAGTAGGAACAGAAGGCAGCCGATCGATGTTTCTCTCTCCATCTCCCTTCCTCTCTAAAATCAATATAAAAAAATAACATTTTAAAACATATTAAATGGGAAATTCCAGAAATAAATAATTCCTAAGTTTTAAATTAAAAAAAGAGTGACTGGCATAAAAACAGACATATAGATCAATGGAACAGAATAGAAAGCCCAGAAATAAATCCACAACTTTATGGTCAATTAATATTTGACAAAGGAGGCAAGGACATACAATGGGATTAAGACAGTCTATTCAATAAATTGTGTTGGGAAATTGGACAGATATGTGCAAAAAAAAAAAAATGAAACTAGAACACCTTCTTAAACCATGCACAACAATAAACTCAAAATGGATTAAAGACTAAATGTAAGAGCCCTGGCTGGTTTGGCTCAGTGGCGTTGGCCCGCAGACCAATGAGTCTTGGGTTTGATTTCGGCCAAGGGCATGTACCTTGGTTGCGATTTGTCTCTGGCCCTGGTCCAGCTTGTGTGGGAGGCAACCAGTCAATATGTCCCTCTCATGTCGATGTTTTTCGCTCTCCCTCCCACTCTATCTGAAGATAAATAGAAAACTATCCTTTGGTGAGGATTAAAAAGAAAAAGATTAAATGTAAGACTGGAAACCATAAACATCCTAGAGAAAAAGCATAGGCAGTACAATCTCAGACATTTCATGTAACAGTTTTGTTTCTGATATATGTCCTCGGGCAAGGGAAACAAAAGAAAAAAATAAACAAATGGGACTACATCAAACTAAAAAGTTTTTGCACAGCAAAGGAAACCATCAACAAAATTAAAAGACAGTGCTCGCTTCGGCAGCACATAGACTAAAATTGGAAGGATACAGAGACGATCCGCATGGCCCCTGTGCAAGGATGACATGCAAATTTGTGAAGCATTTCATATTAAAACAAAACAAGACAAAATTAAAAGACAACACACTAAATGGAAGAACATGTTTGCCAATGATACATTTGCTAAGGGTTCAATATCCAAAATTTATAAAGAACTTATACAACACAACACACACACACACACACACACACACACACACACAAATCCAATTTAAAAATGGGCAAAGGATCTGAATAGACACTTCTCCAAAGAGGACATGTAGATGGCCAATAGACATAAAAAGATGCTCAATGTGTCCTGGCCAGTTTGGCTCAGCTATTGGAGCGTTGGCCTGAGGACCAAAGAGTTGCGAGTTTGATTCTGGTCAAGGGCACGTACCTTGGTTGTGGTTTGGTCCCCAGCCCTGGTTAGGGCATGCAGGAGGCAACCAGTTGATGTGTCTCTCTCATGTCAATGTTTCTCTCTCTCTTTCTCCCACTCTATCTGAAGATAAATGAAAACAAAACAAAAAATCCTCAGGTGAGAATTTAAAAAAAAAAAAGATGCTCAATGTCACTAATCATTAGAGAAATATAAATTAAAACTACATGAGATATCACCTCACACCTGTCAGAATGACTATTATCAATAAATCAACAAACAACAAAGGATGTGGAGGATGTGAAGAAAAGGGAACCCTCTGTGCTGCTGGTGGGAATGCAGATTGGTGCAGCCACTGTGGAAAACAGTATGGAGTTTCTTCAAAACTGCCTTATGGCCTAGTGATTCCACTTCTGGGAATATATCCGAAGAAACACAAAACATTAATTTGAAAGAATATATGCACCCCTATGTTCATAGAAGCACTATTTACAATAGCTAAGATTTGGAAGCAGCCCAAGTGCCCATCAACAGATGAGTGGATAAAAAAGATGTGGTACATTTACATAATGGGGTACTACTTGGCCATAAAAAAGAAGGAAATTTTACCATTTGCAATAGCATGGATGGACCTAGAGATTATTTTGCTAAGTGAAATAAGCCAGTTAGAGAAAGACAAATACCATATTATTTTACTTATATGTGGAATCTAATGAACAGAATAAACAAACCAAAAAATAGAAACAGACTTACAGATACAGAAAACAGACTGACAACTGTCAGAGGGGAGGAAGTTGGGGGGCTGGGTGAAAAAGGTGAACGGATTAAGCAGAAAAACAACAACTCGTAGACAGTACGGTGATTACAAGAGGGAAAGGGAGGGTGGGGGAGGTACAAGAGGGTAAAGGGTGGATAAAGGTGACGGAAAGAAACTTAACTTTTGATGGTGAACACACAATACAATATACAGATGATGTATTATAGAATTGCACACCTGAAACCTATATAATTGTATTAATCAGTGTCACCCCCAATAAATTCAGTAACAAAATTAAAAGACATTTGAAAAAATAATAAAACCTGTTTTTTTCTAAGACCAAGATAAGCGCAGTCAAGACATTAGACCTCAACATCACATTTAGCCGTCTAGCTTCATTTGTTCATTCTACTCCCATGTACTGAATGCCAGCCACCTGTAAGAGTAACAAGATATGACACCGCTGCCCTCCCAAAGCCCATAGTCCAGAAAGGAAAGACAGACATGTAAACAATTGCAATACTATGTTGGAAGCACTTCCTGTAATAAAAGTAACAATAAAACCTGCAGGAACATAAAGGAGAAGGAATATGATCCTTTATTAATGTTCCTGGAGACATTTATATTCATTCCTGTGGACAGGCTCTTTTTTATTCACTGCTATATCTTAAGTGCCTACGAGAAAATGCCTAGCACCTATAATTAGTATTTGCCTAATAAATTGTTTTGTGTGTGCTAAAAAAAAAAAAAAAAGGTACAGCGTCAACGATAACATTATTATCCTCTCTGGAACTGGAATTTGACACGTGAGGACCCATACGTCAGTTTCTGAGACCCCGCCCCCGGCCATTTGTGACGCCAAGGCCGCCCCTTCTAGGACACTTGTGGTGGTCCGCACCCGCCGGCTCTCTCTCGCTTGGCCCGTTAGAGGCCGCTTTGGTCCTGGGATCGCGGGCGGATCGTCTGGGGCCATGAGGAAGCTCGCTGCGGGCTTCCTTCTCTCACTCCTGAAGGGTGAGATTCCCACCTACTCAGCCTCTTCCTCCCAGGCTAGGTCTACCGCCACCTCTCGAGAACCCTTTCTTGACTGTTTCTGAAACGTCTCCCACGGAGGTCGTCTGGGACGTGCTCCCTAGCTTCTGACTTGAACTCCTCCCGGATCTCCCCAAGGCTCACCTTGTCTCTGTCCATGGCATCCCCACCAACCGAACACTCCCGTTCCTAATTTACACGGGGCCCCGCTGGCCACTCTGGGTCCATCCCGGGCAAGGAGGGGGTTTGGAGTTTGGCCCATCCATCCGTCTGTTCCCCGCCCCGCAGTGCTGCTCTTGCCTTCGTCAGCTGCCCCAGGCCAGGATTCCATTTCGGCCTCCACTCCCGGCAGCCCTCTCTCCCCCAATGAATATGAACGCTTCTTCGCACTGCTGACCCCCACCTGGAAGGCAGAGACTACCTGCCGTCTCCGCGCAACTCACGGCTGCAGGAATCCCACCCTCGTCCAGCTGGACCAATATGAGAATCACGGCTTGGTGCCCGATGGTGAGGGCCCGATTGGTGGGGCAGATTTATACTCATTGCAGACAGGGGAAGGGTATGACTGACCTCTTATCCTGCGCCCATATTCTCCACACGCCAGATCCAAGGTGCCCACTGTCCCCTCTGGGAGGGAGCCCCCCTTGTATGTTCACCTTCTCCACCCCTGCCCCTTCGCAGGCGCTGTTTGCTCCGACCTCCCTTATGCCTCTTGGTTTGAATCCTTCTGCCAGTTTACTCAGTACCGTTGCTCCAACCACATCTACTATGCCAAGGTGAGTCCCAGGACAAAGGTGGAGCTGGTGTTGCAGGACAAAGGGAGAGGCAGTGGCAGTAAGAAGCTGAGGAAGGGCTCCAGGAGGGCCATCCTTAGGTCCTTCCTCCCTGCCACTTTGCCAATCATTTACCCAGATTATGTATGAATACAGTCTCACCTTGGGTATTCAGACTGTCAGAACACTCCTGTTTACTGCAAGAAAAGGAGAGAAGAGGCAAAAATTAAGCCCTACCATTTCTTCTTTTTTTTTTTTTTTTTTTTTTTGGTACGTGCCCCTAGTGGGAACCAAACCCAGGACTCTCTGGTCCACAGGCCAAGGCTCTAACCGCTGAGCCAAGCCGGCCAGGGCTACCATTTCTTCTAACAGTCAGTGATTTCATTCAAATCAAACATTAAAGAGTGAAGGCAGGGTTGTGACCAAGACATCAAGTTTTATCTCGTAGGGGAAACCTTTCTCAGGTCTGGAGGGTTCCACCAGGGACCCTGTACCTTCATCCCTGCCCAGGAACTGTGAGAGAGGAGGCATGCTGGAAAAGGCACTGAGGAATAAGTTGGAGTAGAAGTCCACTTTTGGAAAAGGCATTCCCATGTTCCTTCTCTTCTTGCAGAGGGTCCGATGCTCCCAGCCAGTCTCAATTCTCTCACCTAACACTGACAAAGAGATAGATTCTTCCACTGAAGCCCAGCCCACCTCAATGACCTCCCCAGCGTCATCCCACAATACAGGTGAGACCCTTCCAGCACCTAGGAGACTAGCAGCAACTACTTCCATACATCCCAGAGCCCAGGATTTAAGGCATCAGTGGCAGGGAAACAGGAAGAATGTTGCACGAGGGTGGAAGATGGGGAGAGGCAGCCCTTTACATAATGGAGAAACTGCTTTTTAGGAATACAAGTTAGAGCTTTCGTGTCCCAGAATATCTTCTGGCATCACTTCCAAGTCTGCCCTGAATTCACTTTTTCTAGCTCCCCAAAACATTCCTATGTTTGGAAGCCCTCTGGGACTTTTGTAAGTTAACATCTTAGTCTAGAAAGGATTAGTTGCTAGCTATTCAGAATATGTGCTATTTCCTAAGTGAGATGAACAACAGGTGGTATTTGAGATGGCAGTTAAGGAAGAGGAGCACTTGTAAGGGAGGTGGGAAGGTGATATACCAACAAATCCACAATGGTATTATTTTGATATTTATATTCTTTTCTGTGTCTTCTATACTTGACTATGTGAATAATTGTGACTTAGGCTGCTTTCTTCTGCCTTGGTGTTTATGTGGGTGTCCCTCTGTGAACAAACACACTCAGGCCAGAAAGCTGACTGTCCTTTTACTTCTCTTTCTTGGTCCCTCCCAAACTCTGTGGCAGCCACGGAACGGCAGGCCTTCCAGCCCTGGCCTGAACTGCTCAACAACAATGTGGAGGAGCTGCTGCAAGCCTCCATGTCCCTGGGAGGCCCCGAGCGAGTGGCAGAGCACAAGCAGGATCAAGGGCAGGAGCACAAGCAGGATCAAGGGCAGGAGCACAAGCAGGATCAAGGGCAGGAGCACAAACAGGATCAAAGGCAGGAGCACAAACAGGAGCAATGGCAGGAACACAAACAGGAGCAAGGGCAAGAACATAAACAGGAGGAAGAGCAGGAGCAAGAGGAACAGGAAGAGGAGGACGAAGAAGAGGAGGAGGAGGAGGAGGAGGAGGAAGAGGGGAAGCAGGAGGAAGGACAGGGGACGGGGGAGGGACTTCGTACCTTGTATGGGCTACAGACAGACACGGAGCCCAAGCACCAGGCTGGTTTATCTTTCAACCCTTTCTCCTTCACTGCCCGTGTACGGGAAGTGGCGTCTACACCTATGATGATAGATAACATCCAAGAGCTTATTCGATCTGCCCAGGAAATGGAGGAAATGGGTGATACGTATGAGGAAGACTCTGTTTGGAGAAGCCAAAACTCGGGCAGGTACAGTAAGTTTGACTCCCCTACTGATCCTACCCTTCCTGCTGCCTTCTTCAGAAATGAGAAGTTCACTTTCTAACTTTGGCCTCCAGATACCCATTTCCTACGTGACAAAGTGGCATGAGCCCTGTACCTAAAGCTACCAAGCTTGAGTTCCGGTCTTGTCTCTGGCCTTGATAAGCATTGCAACTTTGAGGAAGTTACTTCCCCTTTCTGAACCTTGGTTCCTCATTTTTAAGAGGAGGCAGTTGGTCTAAGAAGTCTCTAAGGCCCTATCCAACATGCTGAATATGTGTGACCAGAAGAGAGTCTGAGGGGTGGGGAAGAGAGTGGATGTGGTTTTCTGCCCCAGCACTGGCCACCAACCAGGTCTGTCTCCTTGCAGCCTCTTGCAGCTGCCCCATGTGGAAGCCTTACTGGTGATGTGCTATTCTATTGTGGAGAACTCCTGCATCATGACCCCCACAGCCAAGGCCTGGCAGCACTTGGAGGATGAGGTCCTTGGTTTCGGGAAGACGGTAGGCCCACCATACTGTTTAATGAATGCATGCCCAATGGGCATCCTGGCACTGTACTAGGCCTTCGGAGTAGAGGGATGAGCAGGTATATAGAAAGCATGAGGCACTGCTGGAGAGGTCCTCTTCAAGTGGGCATACCTTCTCTGGAAGGGCATACCCAGCTCTCCTTAAAGGAGGAAGGCTCAAGACTAGTCTGGACTCCATTCTATTTTGGAATTCATTCTTCAGTTCCCTGAGTTGTTAGGCTTGAGTCATCTTCTGATCCAGTTCACCATCTTCAATATTTGGCTTTACCTTACATGCCGTTCTTTCCACATGGGGCATAGAACTCATTCCAGGATCTGTAGAGAGATTCCAGTCTCAATGTGTCCTCAGTGCCCAACAAGTCCTACTCCCAGGAAAATATCCTTTAGGTTTTTAAATAATGCAAGTCAACAGACATCTATTGAAGTTGGTATGCCATCCATTCATTCATTTGTTCAACAAATATTGATTGGGCACCAAATCTGAACTAGGTATTTGAGATGTTAGCAATGAGTACAATAGATCTAGTCACCTTGGAGCTCTTGAAGCCTAGTGGGAGAGACAGATAAGGAAACAGGTAGAACAGTATGACAGGATAAACGCTGTGATGGATAAGTACCAAGTGCAAGAGAGCAGAAGGGGACAATTGTCTGTGGTTGGGAGAATCAGAGAATGTTTCTAATAGGAACTGATGTTTACACTGAAACCTGAAGAGAAAAGAAGTCAGCCATTTAAGAGGAGGCAGTTGGTCTAAGAAGTCTCTAATGCCCTATCCAACATGCTGAATATGTGTGACCAGAAGAGAGTCTGAGGGGTGGGGAAGAGAGTGGATGTGGTTTTCTGCCCCAGCACTGGCCACCAACCAAAGAAGAGACTTGGTAGAAGCTTCCTGCTAGAGGGAATAGTATGTGCAAAGGCTGTGAGGCAAGAAAGTGATTTTATGAGGGACCAAGAATGAAAATATTGCTGCCCTTAAAGGGCCTAGAGCCCACGAGGGATTCAGCAGCATTACAAAAGGAGTATGGTAGGTTTTTAGATGTAGGAAGGTCAGGAGTCCTGGAGAGCCCACCAGATTTTAGGGCTTGGTTAAGGGAACAGCAAGGAGCCCATTTTGCCTGGAACAATGCAGTAGGTGACCGAGTAGAAGAGATAGTAAGTCATTATGTGAAAAATCTCAAATGGCAGTCTGAAACATTTGTATTTAATTTGGTAGAAAAAAAGAATTTAGTAACCATTTTTGGTCAGGGACATGACTATGCCTTCCTTATGAGCTGTTGTGCGGAATAAACAAGATGACATAAGAGATTTTGTACACTGTGGTGTGCTGTAGTCATGGGTGGAGAAGGAGGAGGATGGGACTGTCTGCAGAACCTCCTGAGAAGGCCGAGGGAGCTCAGTCAGGGCGGAGAGTCCAGCTAGAAGATGGGTAGCTCCACTCAAAAGAATGTCTTCCAGGACCTTGGAAGTTTGAAGCTAGGTGCTTAGCGAGAGTATAGGTTTTGAAGTTAGAATGGTGGATCTATGTCCCAGTTCCACCATCTATAAAGCATGTGGTTTTGAGCAAGTTAACCTCACTGAGATTGTTTTCTTGTCAGTCAAATGCAGCTATTATTAGTACCTGTGCTAGTGTAGGACTCTTGTGAGGACCAAATGAAATGAGAGTGTTTATAGCCATGGTGCTTAGCCCTGTGTCAACTCTTTGTAAATATTAGCATTATCGTTAGGAAAGCGAGAGAGAAAGGGAAAGTTAGGTGTTCTATTCAGATAGTCTAAGTTAGGGGTGGTTGTAGTTCACCCAGTGGTGAACATCTGTCAGTCATTTGACAATTGAGAATTTGAAGCTTGGGAAAGACATCAGAACTGATAATAAAGATGATGTGGGTGTCATTTGCAGAGAGATGAAGATTACCTGGGAGGAGATAAATCATCCAGGAAGAGGATGAAGAAACAAAGAGCCGAGGCGATGTCCTTGGGGAACTCTTGGGGAGGGGAGCAGGGAGAAAAGCCACAGAAGCTTTCAGAAGAGCCTGAATGCAAAGACGTTTGTGGAAATGGCTCTGGAGGGCTGAGGTGTGGGATAATCTCAGCCTCAGCCTCTTTACTGTACTCCTGCTTTAGGTCTGTGACAGCCTCGGGCGGCACCACCTAGCTATCTGTCCCCTCTGTGCCTTCTGCTCCCTGAAGCTGGAGCAATGCCAATCGGAGTCCAACTTGCAGCGGCAGCAATGTGACAAGTCCCACAAAACTCCCTTCGTGAGCCCCTTGCTCTCATCCCAGAGCATGTCCATCGGCATCCAGGTACCTAGCTAACTGGGCATCCTGTAGTGGGGGAGGCCTCAGGCTCCGGGCAGATTTGGACATCAGGAAAAGAGGCCTGCAGAGAAGCAGGAGTGTGCACCTCTCCCCTATCCCCTGTGCCACAGATGGGAACCCTAAAATCGGGCCGCTATTATGGGCTGGATTTTTATGGCGGGCTCCGCATGGACTTCTGGTGTGCCCGACTAGCCACGAAGGGCTGTGAAGATAGTCGAGTAGCCGGCTGGCTCCAGATGGAGTTCCTTAGCTTCCATGATGGAGATTTCCCCACCAAGGTCAGAACCTTTCCCCAAAGCTCAGCCCCACCCCACGCACCCCAGTTCCTTCTGGTTACTTGCTCTAAGCAGCCCCAGGATGTGGAAGGGGGCTTGGGCCCCTGGCTTCTGAGAATCAGTCCTCACTGAACCTACTGCCTCTCTTCAATAGATCACACACACACACACACACACACACACACACACACAGCAGGATTACATATGGCAAAGGAGTAGGAATTGAGAGGGATTGGAGAGCATAGCATTGGGAAGCAGGAGACAGAGGTCCCAGCTCTACCAGTTACCTGCTGAGGGGCTTTGGTCAGGTCACTTCCCACTCTAGGCCCAAGTTAAACAACAAATGACTAGGTGATGGGTGAGGGACCACCCCTCCCCCAATTCAGTACTTCCCTGTCCGGGTCTGACAGTCTCCTTCCCTAACACTAGTGGTGCTTTCCCTGCTTAGTGACATCATTGTTGCCCCTGTCCCCAAAGTTCCTCCTCTATGGAACTACTGTTGTACCTGAGAGCCAGGCCCCTCCTTTCTGTGTGTGTGTGTGTGTGTGTGTGTGTGTATGTTTTAAAATTAATTAATTTTATTTTTAAAAATTAATTAATTTTATTTTATTACAGATGTTTCTCCTTTCTGTGGCTTAACAGGGGAAGTCAAAACAATGAAAAGTAGGGGCAGCTTAAGAAAGGGCTGGTCACTGAGCTGAGGGCCCCTGCCCAGATCTTATCCCTGGGCCCCTAGATCTGAAAGAGATCTCAGAGATAATCTCTGCTGCTCCCCTGGATTTATAGATGTGGTAGCCAGGTCCACAGAGGGAAGTGGCTCAGCCAAGGTCACACATTAGAGATTGTTCTACCCTCTCCCTTATTCATCACTAGAGGGCTCCCTGAGACTGGACCACTACTTGGGCCCCCTTCCAATGTTCTGCACCCTTAATGCGCCACTTCCCCATTCCCCATTCCTCAGCCACTTTCCCAGCAAAGTGAACAGCAAGGAAGCCATTCGCACTCTCTGGCTCCTGGCTTCTTCCCAATAACTGAGCTATGACTGAGGGTGAAATGGGAAAGGCAGAAGAGACAAACTCCTATGTTTCAGAGAGGGGGCACCCAGGTGTAGGAGGTCTGGTGCTCAGGGGTCACACCCCTGCCCCTGGCTCTGCCACTCTCTGGTGGGCTGGTGTTTCATAAGGCTTCTGATATCTCCCCACCCCCTGGCCTAGATTTGTGACACAAACTATGTGCAGTACCCGAACTACTGTGCCTTCAAAAGCCAACAGTGTCTGATGAGAAACCAGGACCAGAAGGTGAGCCCCTCACCATGCCCCCTCTTCCTCCCATCAGCCTCTCAGTCAGTCACCTTCGTTGGGTGCCTTTTCTGGGTAACACGCACCAGCCCCCCCTGCTCCAAACAGCAGGGACATGGAGAGCAGTTTCCTACTTGCCTCTCAGGGCAGAGGCCTCCACCAGAGCACTCCCTCTCCTCCACTCCCCCTGCCTTGGAGTAAGCAAGCCCCACCCCAGGTCAGAGGGGTCTGGCAGGGATGCTGCTTATGAGAGGTGAGGGCCCTGAGGGCACCAGGGGAAGAACCCCAGCTGGGTTGGGGATTAGATGTTGAGGTTGCAGTCTTGTCTTCCACTCTTACTCACCAAGAAGTCTGGGATAAGTCACTTCCTCCCCCACCCCACCTCAGACTGAAAGGAGGGGGTTGGGCTACTTGGTGTCTCTTGAAGCTTGAAAAACCCACATCTGAGTTTCCTCCTTCCCTCTACTACCTTGTGCCTATAACCACCCGCCTCTGGTTCTTGTGGGACTTCTGACACTTCTCCACCTCCATGCCTCTGGCTCCTTGTTCTGTAACTCAGACTATGTGTGTCCCCCATGCCCGTGTAGGTGTCCCGTATGAGATGTCTGCAGAACGAGAGTTACACTATCTTGTCTCCAGCCAAAAGTGAGGACCTTGTGCTTCGATGGAGCCAGGAATTTAGCACCTTGACTCTGGGCCAAGTCGGATGAGCTGGGGTTCTTCCTGTCTCCACCCCAACCTGCACTTTCTACATTCTCCATTGCTTTTAGACTCCATTTGTCATCAGTTTGCTTTCAGGCTGCCCCTTTTTGGTCTCTTACCTTGATCCTTACTCACATTTTTGTTGGGTCAGGGAAACAGTCCCAGAAAGGTTCGTGATGGAAACTCCACCCACCTTAAAGGATGTCTTTGCATAAAGTGTTTATTTTTAACCTGTATGGCCTATTTTGGTTATGAATCTATCCTCAGCACTGCCACAGTGCCCATGGGAGTCAACCCTCCCCGCCAAGGGGGCTTACAGACCCTTCTATAAGGTGAGATAACCTCATGGGAATGATGCTCAGGGAAGCAGCCATCTGCTGGGAGAAGAAGACCTAAAAAACGAAGGAGTCAGATTGAAGAAGAACACAGCTGGGGCTCAGGGATCCTGTGGGTCAGGAGGGCATGTGTGTCTTCATCTCTGAATCCCTGGGCCCCAGGAGCTCAGATGTGAGTATAGAATTGTCCCTCGGAACAATAAAGGCCAGAGCCTGACAGAGATCATGTCCAGGGGTACCCATTCCAGGGAAAGAGGGCAGGACTTGCACTTTATCAAGAGGATGGGAATAGCTGGGGCCTGGAGCTCAGGAAACCCTCACTTTGACATCCAGTAATGGGCCAGATGGTCTGAGTGTTAAGGTAGTTTTGTCTTGACAACATACATTGAGATGTAACTTCAGCATTGGCCTTTAATAACAGGATATCGCTGTGTGTGTTCTGAGGACACATTTGGGAAACTGTACAGTCTCTCTTCTCTAGGTTCATGGTGATTAATAACATTAAGAAAAAAACTTATGGAAACGTTCATATAAGCACAAAAACAGAATAGTATAATGCACCCCCATGCTTCACCCAGCTTCAAAATCAACACATGGCCCTGTAATAGAGAAACCTATTTAAGCTAGTATTTTTCAAACTCATTTGACCACAATATTCTTTTTCACTTACCACTCAAAAACTTGAACTTGTTTTTGTGTATTGAGCATAGACAACATGCCCAGCCCTATTCATACAGAAGACAAGGGACTTGGCCCTAGGATACAGAAAAGAGGTCTTGTCATCTAAGCTCTCTGGCCAGCCCCCAACCCCCAGCTCACAGCCCACGAGAGACAGAAGCAAGGAGGAACTGCCTAGCCTGTTAGCTGCTGTGATGGAGAGGCTATGCACACTCTGCGGTGAAAGCAGGCCCAGCAGCAGCCCTGGTATGCAGACGGGCCCTAGGCAGGGGGAGGTAGAGCAAAACCACCTGCAGGGATCCAAAAGAGAGACACCCAGAGGGAGCTGGTGAGAAAATCAAATGAGAGGCTGGTGGGTTAGTCATCACATCAGTGGGTGGGTGTGTCAGCTAGGCTTCCCGGAAACTGGGGAGTATATGAACGATGGGCGGGGAAGGGGAATCATTAGTTGGCCAAAGTTGGAGCTGGATTAAGTGCCATTATCTGCTGGGGTTTTCTTGGCCAGTCTGTGAAGACCGCTGAAGGCACTGCTTCCTCCTCTCTTTCTGTGCACGTGGTTGGGTGAGTGCAAGGAGGTGGAATCTGTTGAGATCTGCCCAGGTGGGTGTGTCCCCACCCGCCCCAGGAGCAGGTCCTTCCAGCCCAGCCCAGCCCAGTGCAGAGCAGGCAGCAGGAGCCAGCTTGGGGCAGCGGCAGAGCTCAACAGGGAGCACAGGTATGGGGGTGTCACAGGTGGGCTTGAACCTCATGGGGGCACAAGAGGTGGCACCTCTCTTTTAGAAATGGGGACATTGTGGGATGGAGGTGAGGGTGGGCCATGGGACCTGGAAAACCTTTTTGAATAGAGTAAAAAGCAAAAGGGTCGGCCTTGGGCAGAAAGACCTTATCAGACAGAGAACACATCCTGGAGTGCCCCCTTTGAAGCTTGAAGCCCCACATTGGGGCATCTGGTTAGGGAGGCGGCTGTATTCTCCCCTTCACTCTTGAGGCCCCACTGTCATGCTGAACCCTGGGCTTCCCGTGGCCACTGAGGAGGGTCCAACTGGGGATGATTTCCAACCCTTTCCCATTCTCAGTTACTACTTAACTCCCCACCCCCCACCCACTGACCTACCAGGGCTGAGCCCTCTGCTAGATGATAATAAATGTATCTGATTAAACTCCATGAATGGGTTCACTGGCACAAATGTATTCTTATGGTTATTCTTCCCAGCTAACCAAGGGGTATTAACCAAGGGGCATTATTTATTTATTTTTACTGATTTGAGAGAGAGAGAAGCATTGATTTGTTGTTCCGCTTATTTATTCATTCACTGGTGGATTCTTGTATGTGCCCTGACCAGTGATTAAACCCACAACCTTGGTGGGTCGGGATGACGTTCTAACCAAATGAGCTACCCTGCCAGGGCCTTCAAGGGGTATTTTAATAGGGTCTTTGAGAAACACTACCTTAACCCAATTCGTTCATCTATATAAGAAGATTAGACAAATGATTTCTAATGTCCCTATAGCTCTGATAGAATGTGGCGCATAGGTGACAGGAAGAGGATGAAATTTCAGATATTGCACATAGGTGGAGGAAATATTTGAGGATGGGCAAGGCCTTATGATACCTTTGTATCACACCAATGAGGGCAGCTGCCTACCTATTACCTATGTGTATGGGGGCTTCCCTGGAAGAAGGAGATCTCCCAGCCAATTGTAAATCCTCAGCTCCTTTTAGGGTGAGCTGAAATTGTAGCCCTTAGGGGAGATTGAGGCAAGGATTGAGGGGGAAACAAAACCTTAGACCTGTAAGCCTCACTTCCTGGGCCTCTCAGAGACACTAGATCCCAGCTCTGTCTGCCTGTGTCTGATGCTGTCAGCTCTCCCCATCCTGCTGCCCCAGTGTACACCCCAACAATGAAGCCTGTGTGCCCAGGCCCACGGGGAAGGAGACAGTAGAGTGAGAACAAGCCAGTGGCACACACTCAGTGATGCTGGAGTTCAGGGCAAGGTCAACGAGGCCAAAGGCTACAGGACACTCCCTGAGGCAGGATCCAGCCAGGCCACGAAGCAAGGTAAGAAGCATGCAGACCACTCGGAGCACAGGGCCAGGACGGCTCCGTCTGAGTGTTTTCTCTTGATTGGGACTTTATTTCCTGTTTTTTGAGCTCTTGAAAGCAGGGTGGAGGGAGATGTGCAAGTGAAGGGGTGACATCCCCACATGGGGAAACTATTGAGCTGTAGGCCGCCTTTGCTTTCTGCCTTTTCCCAGAAGAAACAGGAGAGATGAGGTCAGAATACCTGGGGCGGGAGAAGACATGGCTGGGATAATGTTGGAAAGACAGTAGGAGACAGTTTCGGGAGTGAGAGTGTGGGGAGATGAGCAGGAATTTTGGCTGGAGCAAGCAGAGCCTCCACCAGGGAGGAGGGAGGACAGAGATGGGACAGGACAGCCCCCTGGGGTCTGCCCCAGAGAGGTGCCTCTCCTTGGTCCCTGGGGCAGAATAAAGCCATCTGCTCACCCTGCTGACCTTGGACTGTCTCCACACCACAGAGCCCTCAGACCCAGGACAAGCTGATGAGCAGGATTCATCCATGTCCCCAAAGCAGAGCTTTCCACAAAGTCTTTAGACTATGTTAAGCTTCTCCCAGAGGCTCAGCACAGTTTGGATCTGTTTAGAGAGTCTGATATCGAGAGCTTTTATAATTAAGCCCATCTGTGTGCTCTGGGTGCATCCTCCCAACGCCACCTGAGCACAGCGGCAGGGGAAGTAGGTTTAGCTAACAAGGCAGGTTATAGCACACACTCTGTGTAGTGGGTGGGACACACTGACTGGCTGGGACTCCAGAATCTAAAATGAGGTTGGGGTCATTCTAGAGCTGATCTCCTAAGGGTAAGAAGGATGGGGATAGCTGAGATTCTTTCTTTTCAAACTTCTGAAACATATGAATTACTAAAAAGAGAAGGTGAAGAGAGAGCAAGGTATTTGATGAATGTGGGGGTGGAGGTGGGGGTGGGGTGGGGGAGGGAGAAGTGCTTGGAGAGGGTGGCAGAAAGGAAAGCTGGACAAAGAGGAAGTATTTTTTCCAGTATTTTTCGTGCCCCAAATTACCTATTTGTCTTCAGCTTCGTCTGCACTGTTGGTCAGATGCCAGAAGGGTGGATACCGCTGGCGGGTTATGTGCAGCAGAGAGAATGATCATGATCTAGACTCCTGCCCACTTTTACTCTCTCGTTCTCACTTCCTGCTGGTGGCAGAAAATAGCCATGTCCCTCTAGCTTATCTCAGCAAAGAGCAGTGCCCAGCCCAACTCAGAGGGCAATGGGACAGGTCTGAGAGGTCCTAAGGACATAAGGAAGAAACCTGGGCCTGGAAGTGCACATGGGAGGCTGAAGGACAGGGGCGCAGGAAGGAGGAAAGTAGCTGCACATGCTCTGTGTGAGCGGTGTGGTGGGCAGGTGATGGGGGATGGCGCGGTCCCTGACACCTCGGTGTGTTTGCTGTTTTCTTTGCCCTTCAGTGCCTTGGGTCTGGGATCTGTTTGTGCACATCTGCATGGTATGTGCTCCTGAAGCTGCCTGACTCTGCCTGTGTAAGGACACAGTCCCTAAGGCAGGGGCTGTGTCTGCCCTTCCTCCTGGGGCAGGTTGTCCATGCATACTTGTGAATAACAGAGTGTGCAGCGACATTGATTGACATGTTACTTGGAATCTTGTGCATACATCTCTTAGTGTACCTACATCGCTGTGTCTCCTTGCATGGGCACATGTGTGGAGTTGGTATGCTTATGTTACCACAAGCATGTGTGTCGAGGTGACTGAGCCTATGCAGGCCTCCATGTCATGTGTCTCCTCCTCCCTGGCGAAATGAAACCCCAGTATCCATTCTTTTCTGGGGTGGCTGCTGTTTCTTTACTTCACACATTTCCCCTACAACCTAACTTCTTCCTCAAGGCCGAGTTGGGGAGAGGCCAGGCTGCCCCTTCCCCACATCTAGAACCCTCCTTCCATTTCCTGTTTGCCTCCTTTTTGGCAGTGTTTTCCATCTTGCCATCTGGCCTGGCACTGTGCCCATTCAGCTCCACTGACAGGAGCCTCAGGGAAGCAGGCGGATGGGGTGGGGACCAGGGCAGGGGCCTGGCAGCTCTCAACGCGCAGCTTGGGCGGTTCTGTGTAAGTCTGTCAGGAAGGAGTGACTTTTTGACAAACAGGCTCCACTATAAAGAATCCCAAGGGCCCTGGCCGGTTTGGCTCAGCGGTTAGAGCATCGGCCCGTGGTGGACAAGAGAGTCCCCGGTTAGGTTCCCACTAAAGGGCACATACCTCGGTTGCAGTTTGTCCCCAGCCCCCATTGAGGTCGTGTGGGTGGCAACCAGTCGATGTCTCTCACGTTGATGTTTTTCTCTCTTTTCACCCCTCTCTCCCTCCCACTCTATCTGAAGATAAATGCAAAAATACATCCTTGGGTGAGGGGAAAAAAAAAAAAAAAGAATCCCGAGGACTTCTTTCTTTTGGAATAAGAAAGAGCATTACCATCCGCTTTACTAAAGGGTTCCTAACTTCACCCTTATTTATTTATTTATTTGTTTGTTTGTTTATTTTATCCTCACCCGAGGACATTTTTTGATATTTTGTTCAGATAAAGTGGGAGGAAGGGAGAGAGAGAAACATCGATGTGAAAGGGACACGTTGAGTGGTTGCCACCGACATGACCCCAACCAGGGCCCGGGACAAACTGCAACCGAGGTACATGCCCTTAGCGGGAACCGAACCCGGGTTTCTCTGGACCTCAAGCCGACGCTCTAACCGCTGAGCCGATGAGCCCATGTTACCAGTGTTTGAAGGGGGGTCAAAGAAAGAAGGGATTATTTTAAAGTATATATTTCAGCCCTGGCCAGTTTGGCTCAGTGGTTGGAGTGTCAGCCTGTAGACCAGAGAGTCCAGGGTTTGGTTCCCGCTAGGGGCAGGTACCAAAAAATAAAAATAAATAAAAATAAAGTAGCCCTGGCCAGTTTGGCTCAGCGGTTAGAGCGTTGGCCTGCGGTCCAGAGAGACCCGGGTTCGGTTCCCACTCAGGGTGCGTACCTCGGTTGCAATTTGTCCCCGGCCCTGGTTGGTTGTGCAGGTGGCAGCCACTCGATGTGTCCCTTTCACGTCGATATTTCTCTCTCTCCCTCTCTCTCCCTCCCACTCTATCTGAACAAAAAATGGAAAAATGTCCTCGGGTGAGGATTAAAAAAAATAATAATAATAATAAAAATAAAAAAAACCAAAGTATATATTTCAGTTAGACAAATGAGGAAGTAAAGTAATTTATCTATGGGCACAGATTTCACATAGGCAACTATAAAAGACCAGGTGCTCTGTGCAGCATCCATCCTCAACTCCAGCCATCCACTCTTATTGGGGGTAGCACCAGACAGCTTGGACTTTGGAGTCAGGAGGTCCTGAGTTTGAATCCTGACTTCACTCCTTACTGACTGAGCTCTTGAGCTGTTTCCTTTCCTGTAAAAATAAGGATAAACACTGACCTCAAAGGGCTGTTGGCAGGATTAAAGATTATGTATATAAAATACCCTGGGATATGGTGAACAATCAGTAAATGACAGTTATTTCACTCAACATTTATTGACATAGGTGCTGGTGATACAAAGATGAATAAGTCACAGTCCACAGCCCCTCCCTCAAGGAGCTCACAGTCTAGTGGGAGGTGCAGATGAAGAACAGCTAATTACAGTATGGGTGGGAACAGCTATGATAAACCTGCGCACCAGTGAGGGGACCACATCGGTCTTGTAGGGAGGGAGGGAGTCTGGAAAGGCTAGAGATGACTGAGTTTGCCAGTTGGAGAATGGAAGGAGGTTCATTCCAAGTTGAGGAAATAGCATGTGCAAAGGCAGAGTCCTGAAAACATAAAGTATGTGCAAAATTATTAGTTTGGTATAACTGGAGCAAAGGAGCATGGGAGGTGGCATGTGTCAGGAAAAGAGCCAGTTTTATTTGCTTTTCAGCCCCATTTAGTGTTATTTTCGCTGTTGAAATTGGTATTTTGTAGAGGAAATGTTTCTTTATTCCTTTAACTGTTTGACTGTACCTCTTACAAGTCTTAAACTGCTGATAGTCATGGTTGGAGGAAGAACAAACAAACAAAAAACACACAAGACAACTTGTTACAGTCAGATTTAGTACTTGGTTCCATGTAAGAATTCAAGCAGTTCCTCTTGAAAGGAGTAAGTCCAGTATCTTAGAATAATTGCTCAGGGTCTCCAGACAACTCCGCTCCCTAAGATGGCATGTGGACGCCCATGTTCTTATTATTCATAGTAGCCAACAGGTAGAAAAACCCAAGTAACCATAGAGAGATGAATGGATAAACAGAGTGATTCATATATATATATATATATATATATATGAATATATTATTCAGTCATAAAAAAAGAATGCAATTTAATACACACCACAACATGGACAGACCTTGCAAACATCATGCTAAGTGAAATAATCCTGACACAAAGGGACAGCTATTATATGACTCCACCCATATGAGGTATCTGGAATGGGCAAATTCATAGAGACAGAAAGTAGAATAGAGGTTACCAGTAGCTGGAGGACAGGGGTGGCGGTGGAATGGGCGATTACTGTTTAATGGGTATAAAGTTGTTGTTTGGGATAGTGAAAAAGTTCTGGAAATAGTGGTGATGGTAACACAACATGATGAATGTACTTAATGCCACTGAATTGTACACTTCAATGTAAATATTAAGTTATGTATATTTCGATACACACACACACAACGGATGGCATCTGGGTCAGTTCTGTGCCCTTGTGGCATTAAGGAAGGTGAGATCCTGAGACCATGTCCTGTCCTCTGGCTCCTCTGTCTCTTAGCCACATCTTTTGTCTGCCAGCTGTTGCCTGAGGACTGCAGCTGCTGTAGTCTGCTCTCTCCAGCAGCCTCATCAGTACCGGTGGTACTTTCTCACCTCACTGGCTCGCTCTCTGGGGTTAGGGTCCCCTTGGAGCCCTCACTAACAAACAACCATCTCCCCCCTATCACAGAACCCCTTCTGGGAATCATCCTAGTCAGACCCTCCAGGGGTGCTCCTGGAAAAGCTCAACCCCTGCCCTGGCCAGTTTGACTCAGTGGTTGGAGCATCGGCCTGTGGACTAAAGAGTCCCGGGTTCGGTTCCTGCTAGGGGCACGTACCAAAAAAGAAAAAGAAAAGCTCAACCCACAGGGCCTGGCCCTGCCTGGCAGGACTGTGCTGGTGTGTGATCAGCCTAGGAGAGCCCTGTTATATTATTACCCCCCCCCCCTTTTAGAGAGAAGAAACTTAGAGAGGTCAACAACCAAGGTGAACTCAGAGTGCTTTGAGCAAAACCCAGCCCACACAGGAGCAACAGTGGATGTGATGAGTTGAGGCTAGGATTTTGTACTGTACTTGGGAGCTTGAACTTTATTCTTTAGATAATGGGGAGCTGGCAGAGCACCTGTTCCAGGGGAGGTGCTCCATAGCACTAGTCATCACCTGACATAATACCTGTTTACTTGCACTTTATTACCTGCCTCCCTCCAGTGAAATGGAAAGTAGATGGGGACGAGGCCTTTGTTTTGTTCACTGCTGTGAACATACCTGTGAAAGCCTAAACACTTTACATAGATCATCTCATTTCATCTAAAAACCTCATGAAGTAAGGAATCACCCCCCACCACCACGTAAAGAAAATGAAATTCAGAGAGATTAAGTCACAAAAATTTTTTTAAATTTTTTTCTTTATTGATTTTAGAGAGAGAGGAAGAGAGAAATGGAAACATTGATGAGAGAGAACATCGATTGGCCGCCTCCTGCATGCCCCTCACTGGTGCAGCCCACAACCTTAGCATGTGCCCTGACTGGGAATCTAACGTGGGACCTCTTGGTGCAACCACTGAACCACACCAGCCAGATGATTAAGTCACTTTTCTGAGGACAAAAGCTAGGCAAGTTGGCAAAGCCAGAATTTAAACGCAGATAGTCTGACACTGCATATAACTGCCCTGCTGCAGAAAGCTACTCTGGCAGGATAGCAGGTGGGTAAGACTGGAGGCTGAGAAGACTCAAGAGGCCAGCCAGTTTAGCTAGATACACATCTGTGTCTTCTACCCTGTGCTTGCATAATTTTGACTTTTGGCTTGCCTTCCTATTCCAGGTCTCCAGATGATAAAGCTGTGACCCAAGGCATCTGCCCCCTGGCAGCCATCTGCCCTGCAGCAGCCATAGAACACATTCTCATGCCCTGCCTCTGCTTGCTTTGGGACTGTCTCTATGTAACCTTCAGGCCCTGTGTGTCCCATGATGCCCTGAGCCTAGCTCCTCGGCATTCTTGGCACGATGTTGGCCAACTCCTCGGCAAACACTTCTACCAACAGCTTTGATCCCCCATGCCCTGACTACCGGACCACCCACCGCCTGCACATGGTGGTCTACAGCCTGGTGCTGGTCGCAGGGCTCCCGCTCAACGCGTTGGCCCTCTGGGTCTTCCTGCGCGTGCTGCGCGTGCACTCCGTGGTGAGCGTGTACATGTGCAACTTGGCAGCCAGTGACCTGCTCTTCACTCTATCGTTGCCAGTGCGCCTCTTTTACTACTCGCTGCACTACTGGCCTTTCCCGGACCTCCTGTGCCAGACGGCGGGAGCCATCTTCCAGATGAACATGTACGGCAGCTGCATCTTCCTGACCTTAATCAACGTGGACCGCTACGCCGCCGTCGTGCACCCGCTGCAGCTGCGCCACCTGCGGCGGCCCCGCGTGGCGCGGCTGCTCTGCCTGGGCGTGTGGGCGCTCATTCTGGTGTTCGCAGTGCCCACTGTGCTCGTGCACAAGCCCTCAACCTGCAGCAACCGCGGCGCCCCGGTGCGCCTGTGCTTCGAGCGTTTCAGCGACCAGCTGTGGAAGGGCAGGCTGCTACCGCTCGTGCTGCTGGCGGAGGCGCTGGGCTTCCTGCTGCCTTTGGTGGCCGTGGTCTACTCGTCTGGCCGGGTCTTCTGGACCTTGGCGCGGCCCGACGCCACGCAGAGCCGGCGGCGGCGGAAAACGGTGCGCCTCCTGCTGGTCAACCTGGTCATCTTCCTGCTGTGCTTCGTACCCTACAACGCCACGCTGGCAGTCTATGGGTTGCTTCGGGGCAACCTGGTGATGGCGAGCCAAGCTGCTCGCGATCAAGTGCGAGGAGTGCTGATGGTGATGGTGCTGCTGGCCGGCGCCAACTGCGTGTTGGACCCACTGGTGTACTACTTCAGCGCCGAGGGTTTCCGCAACACCCTGCGCGGCCTGGGCTCTCATCTCAGGCCTAGGACCTCGGCCACCAACGGGGATGGTGGGACGCTTGCCCAACTGCCCTCTGAGACCACCTACACCACCAGGCCTGCTGCTGCTAGCCAAGGATTGCTCAGGCATTCCGATTCCGGGACGCCGACGCCCTTCACCCAGTGCCCAGAGGATTCTGTCCTCTGATCGCACATTGGGCCCTAGCGCGGTTACACCCACCTCCATTCCTTCACACATCTCACACTGGAAGACTTGTGGCGTGTGTACATAGGGAGGTGGATCAGACATTTGGATTTCTGGGTGGCAACTCTAGCTCATAAATACTGAAGGAGCAAAGTGTGGGAAGGAAGAGGGCTGGTGGAAATGGCTTCTTTAAATTGGTGGTGATGGAAAGACCCCTTGCCCACTCTGTGGAAAGTGATGATACTGTGAGCCTGCCAATGCAGAGGCAGAGGGGTAGATGAAATGCCCTTGTGGATGGACTTGAAACACTGCTGCGAGCTGGTAGATGGAGCAGAAAATGGATGTCCTGGATGTCGACTGACCACAGCAGTCTTAGGGCCATAGGTGCCACCCACATTTCATTTTCACCTGGGCTTCCCCTCCCGACATTGAGGCATAATACAAGAGTTTACTGGCTGCCCTGGCCAATTTGGCTCAGCTATTAGAGCGTCAGCCTGTGGTCCAGAGAGACCCGGGTTTGTTCCCACTAAGGGCACGTACCTCGATTGCAGTTTGTCCCTGGCCCTGGTTGGTTGTGCGGGTGGCGAACACTCGATGTGTCCCTTTCACATCGATGTTTCTCTCTCTTCCTCTCTCTCCCTCCCACTCTATCTGAACAGAAAATGGAAAAATGTCCTTGGGTGAGGATAAAAAAAAAAAAAAAAAAGAGTTTATTGGCTACAACAGAAGTGATTTCCTTGTTGTTTAGAGACTTGTAATAAATTAGACCTGACCTCCAACTTGGGGTGGTTGGGGGCAGGACAGAACTGTGAGAAGGTTTTTCTCCTCCCAAATCTTTCTAGGTCTGTCCCCCTTTCTAGGTCTTTTCTTTCTTTCTTCTTTTTCTTTAATGCTCACTTGAAGGTTTTTCCCCATTTATCTTTAGATAGAGTGTGGTGGTGATGGTGGTGGGGAGACATCAATTGGTTGCCTCCGGCAGGACCCCAACCAGGGGCAGGGACCGAATGGCAACTGAGGTACGTGCTCTTGACTGGAATTGAACCCAAGACTCTCTGGTCCTCCAGTCAATGCTCTAACCACTGAGCAACAGGCCAGGGCTCTCGGTCTTTCCTTATCCTTACACTCCGACCCCTTTCAAGACCTCCTTAATTCTAGGTCTTAAGTGCCCCCTCCCCCACCCCCACTGCTTCATCTAGAATAAGGAAACAATTCTTTGTACTAAAGTAGCAATTCTCAAACCCATTTACTCTCTTAAAAATTGAGGATTCCAGAGAGCTTTTGTGTATACTTTGTTCTTTTGATACCTACCATATTAGAAATTAAAACAAAATTTTAAAAACAGAACTACAGCTTTGGCCAGTGTGGCTCAGTTAGTTGAGTGCCATCCTATGCAACAAAAAGGTTGCCAGTTGGATTCCTGGTCAGGGCACATGCCAGGGTTTCAGGCTGGATCCCCAGTAGGGGGCGTGCAGGAGGCAGCTGATTCCAGGTGTTTATCTCTCACATCAATGTTTCTCTCTTCTGCTGCTTCTCTAAAAATCAATAAAAACATATTTAAAAAACAAAATAGGAATACATAAGCATACAGTCCATTAGCTGTGAGAGCAGTGATATCATTTCATGAAGCCTCTAGAAAACCGCGCTATGTTTTTGTGATAGAATGAAAGTGAAACAAAAACGAAAACAAATGACAATAGTATTATAAAAACAGTTTTGACCTTGTGGACTTCTCAAAGAGTCAGTCCCCAGATCATACTTTAAAGTATTAGAGTTCTTGTGTAACTTCTTCCCAGGGCATTATGTACATTGTTTTTTATTGCTATGGGAGAGAGCTATGCTCAAAATCAATCGCTAATTGTAGTCCTTAAGGCTTGGGGTTTAGGGCTGGGTAAGGGACAGTAGGAGCTGCACACCAAAGGGAATATAGCTGTGGGCTTCCTGGAGCAGCAGCCCTAAGGTGGGGTGGAACTAGTAACACAAACACTCAGGAGGAAGAGATGAAGCTTCCCTAGGGAGAGAAAAGGAACTGTGCCACAGCCAGGAAAGAAGAGTTTACAGGAACGTTAGAGTGAGATGGGAGGACAGGAAGAGGCTGGCTGTTCTTAGCAAGCTGGAGGCAAGGGAAATTGACGATTGGTTTATAGGCCACTTACTGCTTTCTTCCCTCTTTACCCAAGTTGGGAGCTGGGAGGGATTGCAGAGTTGGCACTACAACATCTTGAGACCCTGACATTAGCGAAGGAGTTGTTGCCATGACTAGGTCTTGTGTGCATTTTTGTGCCGGTCTCTCAATGCTGTGTGTATGCATGTGTGAGCACGAGCCTACAGTGTCAGGGTTTTCCCGGTGGGTATTAGTTTGGAGTAAGCCTTTTGTGTCTTTGTGATCCGCCCGGATAGTGATTTACAGGTGTAAAATGACCCCTTGTGGCCAAACCAGAGAACTGACCCAGATTTCTCAGCCACAGCCTTGAAATCGGGGCCTTCCACCATCTGGTGGGAGGTTAGAGCCCTGGACCAGGTTAGAGGCCTGTTGTTCTAGAAGAGGCTTGATGGTTAGCACCTGCTCCCTCTTGCTTTAACATTAGGGTTCAAGACCCGTGCCCTTCCAACCCTGGGATTACCAAACATGGCTAGTACAAAGTCTCAGCATGTTTCCCTATCCGAGCAGAACTGAATACAATGTTTTAAAATTACTTGACTATTTTTATATGCAGATACATGAATGAATTCCAAAGTAATTCAAACTCACATAGCAAGTATCTTCTAATACTATATAATTTCCTTATTTATTTATTATAATTTTTATAATATACTGTCTGTCTCCTCCTCCTCCCCAGGGGAATGTAAGCTCCCTGGGGGCAGGAATTTTTGTTTGGCGGTTCTCTGATGTATCCCCAGCATCTAGAATGAAGCTTAGGACAAAAGAAGTGCTCAATAAATATTTGTTGAATGATAAACAGTTGGGTCTTGCTGTGAAATAGTTTACTATCTAACGGGGACCAAAGAACAAATCAACTCTAATTACCATTCAAGACAGAAGATGCAAGAATACAGGGTAAGCCCGGCCGGTGTGGCTCAGTGGTTGAGCGTCGACCCATGCACCAAGAGGTCGCCAGTTCGATTCCCGGGCAGGGCACATGCCCAGGTTGTGGGCCAAAACCCCAGTGGGGGCATGCAGAAAGTGGCCCGTCGATGTTCTCTCTCATCCATGTTTCTATCTCTCTCTTCCTCTCCTTTCCTCTCTCTAAAATCAATTAAAAAAAAAAATACAGAGTAAGCCCTGGCCAGTGTTGCTAAGTGGTTAGAGCATCGGCCTGTGCACCAAAGGGTCTTAGGTTCGATTCCCAGTAAGGGGCACATACCTGGGTTGCAGATTTGATCCCCAGCCCCAGTGGGGGATGCATGCGAGAGGCAACCAATTGATGTGTCTCATGTTGATGTTTCTCTCTCCCTCCCTTCCAATCTTTCTAAAAATCAATGGGAAAAAAATATGCTCAGGTAAGGATTAACAACAACAACAACAAAAATGCAGGGTAAGGTGTTGCAGTTAATTTAGTGGGCAATGGAAAGCCCCTGAAGATCCTTGAATGAGGTTTTGCTCACCCTGACATACTGTGGGATAAACCATAGGAAATCAGGTGGAGAGAGTCTAAGGAGAAAGGAAAATTGGTCAGGGAGCTATTAAAATAGTCCAGGAAAAGTGTGACCATGGCCTGTGGAGGTGGATGGAAATGGGTGGTCTTCAATGTGAAATCTCTGGTGTTTAAGCTCTAGTGTATTGTTTCCCCACATTCAGTATACCCCAAGGGTTTCCATCACAAGAATAGAGAGGCAAGAATAGATTAAGGAGATGTGGCAGGCAGAGGAGGAATGACCAGTAAAAGATGGGAAGTTTAAGAAAAGCTGTCAAAGAGACACTGTGCCAATTTCTGGTACTTCCCACCTTCTCATCCCTGACTCTGTGACATCCACCCTTGCCTACTTTCCTTTCTTCCCCTTCCTTCCCCATGTAAGTCACCTCTTTCAATTGCCCCTCTCTCCTTGGATCTGCTGTACCACCTCTGCCCCCTTTTTAGTTCTTCTTCCTTGCTCTAACCCACTCAGCCTCCAGTACACCTGTCCCTTTCCTCTCCACTTGCCTTGGGTCCTTGTGCAGAACACAGTGTGGTTGGGGCACACATAAGCAAGATGGCTGAGCCTTGGCCCTGGTTCCTCTCCCCCAGTGAGTATGTGCCCAACATCTCTAAGGCAGCACTCTTAAATTTTTTTTAAAAAATATGTTTTTTATTGATTTTTTAGTGAGATCCGAAGGGAGAAAGAGATAGAAACACCGATGTGAGAAACATCGGTTGGCTGTCTCTTGCACGCCCCCTACTGGAGATCGAGTGGGCAACCCGGGCATGTGCCCTGACTAAATCAAACCAGGTCCTCTTAGTCCATGGGAGGACACTCAGTCCACTGAGCCACATTGGCCGGCCAAGGCAGCACTCTTGATTGTCCACCAACTAAATGGAAGAGGAGACCTCCTCTGGGTCTCCACAAAGTCTGTCGCCTCTGAAGAATGATCCCACCACATGGCAAAAGTAGCTGGGGAAATAGCAATCATTGGTCTTACAATGAAATTCAGGAGAACCAGGGCAGAAGTAAGGGATCCCAAAGGGGCAGCACTGCTTTTCTCTTTGTTCTGAACCGCCTTGAGGGAAATCCTCGCAGGTTGCTACGTGGGATCCTGTGGAAGAAATGAGAAGGTGAGGTTAATCTCACACCAGGCCTTAGTTCTCCATTCTTTCAGGAGACCCTGAAGGTAAGGGAGGCTGGATAACTCTCAGCATACTATCCTTTCCAGGGGAGCACCGAGAGCACTAAGAAGTGAAGTTCCTCACATGGGTCTTGGAGAATCCCAAAGGCTTCTGAACTTTGGAATGGGACAAACCTAGGCACTCATTTAAGCTCTGATACTTCTTGACAATGTGACTTTAGCAATTACTTGACCTCTGGACCTGTTTTCTCCTCTGTGAAATGGGGATCACAATACCTAGTAACTGGGTTGTTGTGAGGGTCAATGAGCTCTCCTCTGAAAAGAACCCCAGAGGCATCCCGAAAGGGGAGCTCTTTCCCACAAGAATGTGCCATTGGTAAAGTCTGTTCGTGATGCCTAAGGGGAGGGTTTCTGGAAGACAACAAGGGGCAATCAGAACTAGGGCCAGGGGATGGGTGAGCAAGACAAGCTAGGTGAGTTTCCATGGTGCTAAGTCAAGTCCACAGTTTTCAGGGGCAGTGACTGGCCTGTTGCCCTCTGGGGGCACTCTCTCCCCACTGGACCTAAAGTCCACCCACAGACAGAGGAGTGGTAGAAAGTGCCTGACCGGGAGAGGAAAGGGGGCATGGGATGAAGAACCAAGCAAAGGAGAAAGGGCAAGAAAGAAGGCTGGAGGGGAAGTCAGTGCTCAGGCAGGCACAGGGTGGGGCCGGGAGAGGGGCCCAGGGCAGGAGGGCGGGAGAGAGCCCGGGAGGTTGAGCG